AGGATGGATATTCGTTAGGTTTTATGTAAAAAAGCATTTTGTCAGGAAGAAATTAAAAAGGTGTTGAATGGAGATACGGCTTTTCTACTGTAGACGGCAGAATAGGCGCACAGTGGATCGAGTCAATTAGAGAGGTCGGACATGAAATTTTTGACTAAAACTGGAAGTTTTGATGTTTATTTCGTCACATTTTAAATTTCAAGGGGTGCTCCTAAGAGAAAACTTCACGAGGAAACCAATGGAACCACTTTAAGAGCCTCAAAATTTTGTAAAGACGGAGTTATGAGCGTTGAAGGTTTCCAAATTTTGTCCGACCTCTCCCATTGAATCGATCTATAGTGCGGCGCATGGAGTCATCACAGTAATATTGTCGACACGTGAGTAAAATGTTGATCAACTATCGGATGGTCACTTGAGAACACTCTTTAACATGAATAACAGGGCACTTACTGAGATCTCTGAAACACCAAACGCAGAGGATGAGCAGAACAATGAGGAAGAGGAGGACCAAGATAACGAAGGCTGCCAGGAACCAGTAGGTTAGCTCAACGCCGAGTAGGGATCCGGAAGTATCTCCAGCAAGGAAGATCTCGTCTCGAAACGCCATGTTCGATGACGGAAACAATAATTTTAAATCACGAGGCAACTTTTCGGGTCACGGAAGAACGGGAGGAATTCTAGCGCCATACGTCGGTCAATTTTGATGTTTCTTTTTCACGAATCATAATTTCGATGCAATGGAAAGGATTTTCGAAAAAGGGAAATTTATCGCATTTTTTCTAGGTTAGGCGCCGTGCTGTCTATTTCTATGGAAGTGTGCGTCTTGCGCGTCAGCTGTTCTGCGGTGATAGCGAGGATAGCAGTAAATGAATGCTGGGATGAACCTCGAGACACATAAAAGCATGTGCTAGCCATGGCTCATACAGAAATGCGCTCTGTGCTCTCTTCGCTATCACTGCAAAGATGTTAACTATACTGCCACCCTGAGATAGAACGCCGTATGAGCCTTTTTACGTTGCCAAATTTCCTCCAATATAGTATGACTTTTCAAGGAAATTTGTTGATATTTCTTTTTAATTTTTCACAGGGTTATATTCGTAATTGGATCCAAATTACCTGAAACTTTGAAGAAAAAAATGTTCATAATACTTCCAAACAAACATTTAATCGGAGAAAATTTAGCCGCTCTCGAATGTTTATACGGTGTTTTCCCTTAGAATGGTCGTTTAGCTCTAACGCACGCATTGCTCAATTGAGCAACGTGAAAGTTCTACACGACCTTGCGTATAAAGGAATCAGGGTCCCACCAGTGAGGTGCAAAACCAGGCGTATAACTTGAGCAAAAAATAGACGATGAATCAATTGGATTGCATTTTGCAAAAAGGAACCAAGAGGATTCCAATGTTGCTAAGATTGTGCAACTTCTTTTGTCTTGAAAGAAAAATTCCGACCATCTATGAACATTTTCTATTCTACTCGCTAAAACCTGTAAATTTAAGACAAAATTACCGTATAAATTCCATATTTTTTTATGATTACAGTAGATTTATTGCAAAGGGTGAAGTTGCACAATCTTAGCAACATGGCATTGCTCCTGGTTCCTTTTTGCAAAATGCAATCCAATTGAACATTTTTTTAAAAGTTTTTCTTAAAATAATCTGCGTTTTGTTTTCAAAATTCTATGTCCGGCGAAAGAAGTAGGTAAAAGGATGAGGTCTAATTACGGAATAGCTAAAGAGTCTAAAAAGAATAAATTTGGTGAACTTCATGCGGGCATGGACCAGAAGACCATGGACAAAGATGCGCAGTACCGCACTGCACCGCACCGTGCCGAGTTGACGTTAACGCCTGCCGGAATACAAATATTCGTGCTTGATGGATGTCCGTGTTGCATACATAAAAATTTGAAGGCGCCCAGACTAACCGTATACGCTCGTAACACTTCATGCACTATCTAAGCGCTGAAATGAGTTATTCTGGGAGTGTTCCGTCCGGAGAAGAACAGGCACATGATCACGCACAGGCGTATGAACAGGCGCAGCTCCTGTAAAAACCGGGGCTAGATCTTCAGTCTCGAAATAAGGAAACAAGTAGGTCTTCTTTTTTCTCTCTTTTTTTTTGACGTCTGGGTCGAACGGACGTTCGGTTTTCGGCTTGTTTGGCAAAGAAACTGATATGCTACACTGAAAAAAAAAAAAAAAAAAAAAAAAAAAAAACTCCGGCCATTGAAGCTGTACTTACGGGCTATTTTAGACGTACCGTCCTCGTTTCGGGCTCAGAAGCCGAGACTTCTGGGCATACCACCCGGAGCATTCGAAGCTACGGCTCCAGCACCCGGAAGTTTTGGCTTCTAAGACCGGAACGGTCGGTATACCTATATAGCCCGTAACCTTTTTTTTCAGTGTATTGAAATGAATTCAACAAACGTCAGTGTATCGATTGTATTGATCAATCTTTCGTTTACAGCGATGGATTCTGATCAGAGACAAGAGACCCTCGACTATTATATTGGCCATTGTGGAAGCTTTTACTTTCGGGACTTCAGCATTCTACCGTTGACTCACCTACATGGTTGATGTTCAACATCGTCTGATCGTTGTTCTAATTTACGTCACACAGATACAACGTTCCACGCTGCTTTTGAGCCCAGCACAAAGCGGAGCAGCGACGCACTGGCGCCTACAAACCTAACAGGGATACTTCACGCATTGCGCAACGCGTGAAGTATCCCTGTTAGGTTTGTAGGCGCCAATGCGCGTTTCGCGCTGGCTGCCCGCCTGCCGCACCGCAGCGTGCCACGGCGCTTGAAGCAACTATTTCACACCAGAGGTATTGCACAGTATCATACGAAACTGAAGGCGCTCTAATATATTAGTAATGGCAGGCATCCATCAAAAGTACGGAGCTTTCCTCGCAAAATAAATCAAGATACGCACTTTGGTACGACGGTACCAAACCGTACCTTCGGTGCGTGACGTTTAGCATACACTTTATCGCCTGGCTATGAGTTGCTTAATCGTCATCGGCTATAAAAGGCCATAAGAAATTGTGTAGCCGGCTTTAGAAGCTATTGGAAATCTTACAGCCGGCCGTAGGTCTATGGTATTTTGGAACACAGATTCTACTGCCAATTTTTACCAGGGATTCTCTGTTTCTTTGCCTTTTCTTATTTTTCCCTTTTTACTCCAATTTTCTCTCCCCCCCCCTTTCTCCTTGACCCTCGTTCAAATTGGAGTGTATCAAACCCTGGCCAATTTCTTCATGCATGGATGGAAGATTCCATAATCACTCCAATTGAAACCCTATCATTCGTGGCTGTGCAAAACAAAAATGGACCCCTTCCCCTCCTAGGTGGATGCTTCAATTGGAGGAACCGATTGCCGACCGCTATTCAATGAAATAAAGTCTCAAAAATCTCTTAAAACTTGGCTTGGCCTCCCAACGGACTTAAAGTTCTTTGTTTGGACTGAATTTCTTTGCTATTTCCCCGTGAACTTTTGTTCGCCGGCGCATTAAGTTCGTAACTTTCGAGACGATGGTTCCGGTCTTGTCTTTACTGTCACCTCACTCTCAAACGCCTTTTCTTGATCGCTCACCATTCGTCCTCCTCGCATTTCACTTCATTCAACATGCCACAAAAATTGGAAATTTTGACTGCCGAACCACATGGATGGGTATCGTTTAATCACTCATAATATGGACTACATTTTACAATTAGGAACTATAACTTCCGGCTCGGTTTAAAAAAAAACGTATATATCATTCGTTTCCCTATGCACATAAGTGTTTTTCCAGATGAGCCAGAATTTATAGCTCCACATTGCAAAATGCAGTCCATATGATGGATCGATCTTGTTTCTTTGTCGAACTGTGCAGAAACATCAAATCTATGCTGCTTTGCTGAGGAAGTATGCTGTATAAGCATTCAAGCGTTGCCATATTTCTTCCATTGAAAAACGAATTTACTAGGAAAATTATGAATATTTTTCCCTCAATTTTTCGCGCAATTTTGCTCACTATTTCATTTGAAATATCTGAAAATTACAAGGAAAAGTATGCATAACTTCCTTGAAAAATACATGTTTTATTCGGGGAAAGTTGGCAAATCACAGAGGTTCATACGACGTTCCTCCTTAGCACTACTTAGCATGGCAGTGTGCGTCTGTCACACGCAAGAGATACAGCCAAGAGCTTAGACTTTTTACGGGTAAAAAATCACTCGAGAGTCACAACGGGCTCATCAAAAAAGTCTCAAAAAAGTCGAAAAAGTCTCAAAAAAGGAAAAACAAGCCTCAAAAAAGGAAAAAAATCCCTAAAAGCAAAAAAAGTCTCAAAAAAAGTCAAAAAAGTTCTCTCTTGAGCGCTCTGTTTTCAAAGTTTGGAGCGTATTTTTTTCCAATTTCCTGGCCTTGCAGGCAGTTCTTAAAAGTCACTGCGAGACGTGCACCGCGCTGATAAAAAAGAGTTTCAGTATGACGGGTTTTATACCTTTAGTTTCGTCTTTTGTGTAACGCATCTGATGATTGCAATTTGTTTTCTTTCTTTTTTTTCTTTTTTTTAACACTTCAAAAATATCCCACGAAGGATAATCTTGCGCTTTAGCATCCTGAAAGTCCCACCCCCTCCGTCCCTAATCAAGCCAGCCCCAGCCCCAGCTAACCGTTGTTTGGGACCATCAAACGCAGGTCACCTAACCGGGAATAGAACCCGGGACCTCTCGATCGTAGAGCAAACGTTGCAACCACTACACCACAGGTGGCTGACCTAAACGGCATCAAATAGCCGAAATTGCCATCGGGCTCTGTTTGTGACAACCGACGCAAAGAATCAACGGGCGAGAAGGTAAGGAAAGGTATGGCACACAAGCAAGGAAAACAAAACATAACATTTTATACGTGTGAAATAATCACATTAGATGCTAGAATCCGCTGCGAAAATTAATCACGTGTTTAATTAGTCGATAGTGAGTAATACATGATAACGTCATTATGCGGTATAATTTATTATGTTTAGTAGCACAAGTCCAAAAAACATGGTAAAAACTATTGGAGCTTAGCTCCAGAAAATTAATTCAAAGAAAAAAATCTCATCTTAAGAATGGGTCAGTTGCGATAGTTAAAAAATTTGTATCTTTAATAGTTTTTTCTTTCAGATTAGAAAAAATTATTATCATATTTGATAATCATCAGTTAGGATTTTTTATCCATTCAACTCAGTTTTAAGGACTCCTGGCTGGACTTCTGGATGGACCTCTGGATGGAATTCTGGATGGACTTCTGGATGGACTTCTGGATGGACTTCCAGCACGATTTTCTTTTGATGGGAATAAGCGTTTGCTCATCCAATCGCTGAGCTTATTGGAGTTGTCTTGGTTTACCGTATCCGTACCGATTGACTTACCGATCAGCTCGAAGAATCCACTCACTGACCGTACTAATCCCTTGGAATTGGCGGAACTGTTGCTGTTATCCCTTTGGAGCGGCTCTTGTTCCGTTTTTTGCTCCTTTTTCCTGCCAAATTTCATCAGAGAGGTCCCAAAATTAGTCACAGTTTTGCGGCTGGGAACGGCGATTCTACTAAAGTCTCCTCCTGTGATGTCTTTGACTGTGCGGGTCGCGTAATCAGTAACCTGTTTCTTCTGCACCTGATATCCGTTATTCAACCGATTCTTCATGTCCGAGATTCGACCCTTCCATTGAGCCATGCGCCCTTCTATATCCTTCCTAACTGCAGACGGTAACCTCTATAAGCATATTGAATTAAATGTACAATCTTATATTCCCATAAAATGCCAAATATAAAGTTAAAAATATCACTCTCACTGCAAAACTGTCATATCGACGGTGTAAGTCGGCAATCACATGACTCGTTTGCGGGGTCTGAAAATCTCCGCCTCTATGTTATTTTTTTAAAGGAGAACAAAATGACATCATTTCTTGAAGTTTTTGCAGAATTTTCTTCGCATAGAGAAGGAAAATCACGGCAATTTTAAAGAATTGCCGTTGAGTAGTTTTCCGTTTTAAAAAATATAGCATGCTAGGAAGTCTGGGACGTCACAAACCGAGTTAGGTGATTGCCGACTTTCACCGTCGATATGTAGGATGGGCTGATTACACAAAAGACAACCATAGTAAAAGAGGAGTCGTTTTTAATGAAGAATTCGATATTTATAAAATAAGTAAAATGAGTGCGTTGAAGAAATCTAATTGTTGCATGCGGAATTTTTCATTTTTAAGGTCTCCGTCTCCAAAATTTTCAACGGCTGATTTTCTACACGGAGATGAGTTACCTGATCGGTGAATTTCAGACCATTCGCTCCTCATGATTTTTGACTGATCTTACACCGGAAGCAACTTTTTTCTTGCTATAGCATCTGTTTACAACAGGGTTTCATATAAATTAAGGCAATAATAGATTTAGCTTCTTTTTTTCTGTTATATAATTATTTTCGTTCTAGTGGGGCGATAGAAGTCGGTTGAAGTTTAGTGGGTGAAGTTTTTCAAAATACTCATGGGAATTAGTTAAAGTACGTAGCATAAAGGATGACATGATAGGCACAATTTGCATGGCCGGATTTACCTACTTGCCGCCCATGGGCCGCCTGTATTTTGCCGCCCTCTTCTCATTCATTTTGAAATATCAATAAAAACCATCAAGTGAACGTGCCGGAGGGAGAAGGGTGCATAAGACGCGTTCACTAGTGTTTGACACATTTTTTGCGTAAGCCCTGTCAACACCACTAGCAAAAGTTCACGGAACTTCGCGCGAAAATTCAGTTCCGTAAACCTATCTCTGTGGGGACAAGGCCTTTCATTTGTAAGAAATGAACTAAAAAATTAAGAAAGAACAAACATAAATGTGGTTTAATAATTTTAACTTCCGCCGCCGTGCCGCGCTGACCACACTGTGTTTGGCGCAATGCGTGAAGTATTCATGTAGTCTTGTAGGCACTGTGCGTTTCTCGTCGAGCCGACCGCTGTTGACCGTACTATGTTTGACGCAGTGCGTGAAGTATTCATAAAGTCTCGTAGGCGCTAATATGTGTTACATGCCGACCGCCGCGTCGAGGGCTTCTCCTTTTCATCTCAAGTCCTCGTCATTTCTTTGTACCGCTCCAGGCAAAATTACGTGTTTGGTTTCTCTCTTAACTAATTAAAGGTGCGCAGTTTTTTGTATCACCGAAATACGACAAAATTAGAAATTAATGAATTCTCAGGAAATGAGAGATTTCGTCACCTTTTCTTGTTTGTAATATTTTTCTGAATCCGATTTTTTTGTACCTGCATTTCAAAAAATTGCAAAATTTGCCGCCCCCTAATTTTGCGGCCATGGACCGCGGCCCATGAGGCCACCCCCTTAATCCGGCCCTGACAGTTTGTATGGTTGAACAATCACAAGAAGGGGGATGCCTGAACGACCACTTAAGACATCCAGCATATAGACGTATGTTTTCATCCCTGGAAGCTAATTAGATGTGTTTTATGTTTCAACTTTTAGAAAACGGACCAATTTTATTTTATTTTATTTTATCTACTTAAACATGGATGGCAAAAGTGCATAACCATGTATCTCCATTGCGTTGTTTCAAACCCTCCCCTCAAAGTTTATTTTTTCGATGAGAAACAAGACAATTTTACACCTTGAAATATGAACAGAATATCCGGTTTCGGTACAGAGGATATAAATCAAGGAATAAGTTTTCAAGAATTTACGTTGACTGGCCTTCCAAAGATGAAATTAAATATGACAGGAAATCTGCAACGTTGCAAACGGAGATGCGAGGTTTCGCACTTTAACCATCGATATCTGCCTGCAGACACCATGGTACGGCAATCAAACATGAGAAGGGCTCATCATATCACTCGTAGGAAGAAGAAGAAGAAGGAGGAGGAGGAGGAGGGAAAAAATTAAGGAAAATACAACGAATAAGAAGAAAGATGCAGATAAAAAAAGAGAAACAGTAAGAAAAATAATTAAAATAAATTAAACAAAGAGAATGATGAGAAGAGATGCATAAGCACATGTTCCGATGTCAATTGCCCGATAACCTTTTGGAAGATAGGCACATGTGACGTTTGGGTGTAGCAGGACGCCACAGTGCGGTGTGGGAGCGACTTTTGTGTTATGTAAGAAATTAAAGGAGGTAAAAAAGTAATATAAATTAAAGAAAGTAAGAAAAAGTAAAAGAAATTAAGGAAAGTAAAAAAGTAAAAGAAATTACAGAAAATAAAAAAAGTAAAAGAAATTACGGAAAGTAAAAAAGTAAAAGAAATTCAAGAAAATAAAAAAGTTAAAGAAATTAAAGAAAATAAAAAAATCAAAAGAAATTAAAGAAAGTAATAAAGTAAAAGAAATCACGGAAAATAAAAAAGGTGAAAGAAATTAAAGAAAATAAAAAAAGTAAAAGAAATTGAAGAAAATAAAAAAGTAAAAGAAATTAAAGAAAATAAAAAAGTAAAAGAAATGAAAGAAAATAAGAAAAGTAAANTCGCTGAAAGCGAATTTTAGCAATCAACACAACTTGACGTAGAGACATGATTGGCTAAAAAATACAACGGTTTTTGATACATCGGAAAATCAACCAAAAATCGGAGACTGGGCGAAACGCTCAAGGTCGCAGAGGTATAGGGAATCCCATAGCGAAAGCAACGGAACGATTCTAATATCATGGGGAACTCCGTTCCCATGACAAAAAAAGTAAAAGAAATTACGGAAAGTAAAAAAGTAAAAGAAATTCAAGAAAATAAAAAAGTTAAAGAAATTCAAGAAAATAAAAAAAGTAAAAGAAATTGAAGAAAATAAAAAAGTAAAAGAAATTAAAGAAAATAAAAAAGTAAAAGAAATTAAAGAAAATAAGAAAAGTAAAAGAAATTAAAGAAAGTAAAAGAAATTTAAGAAAATAAAAAAAGTAAAAGAAATTAAAGAAAATAAAAAAGTAAAAGAAATTAAAGAAAGTATAAAAAGTAAACGAAATTAAAGAAAGTAAAAAAAGTAAACGAAATTAAAGAAAGTAAAAGACATTGAAAGACGTATAAGAAGGGAAAGCAGAAAAAGTGCGTACAAATCACCAACTTACGCTCATAACCACCTCTTCAGCGCGAATAAGTTTCTCCTCCACCCTCTTCTTAATTTCATTCATTTTATTCTCCACCAACGTCTTGATGTCTCTGACGGCCCTCTCCCTTTCCATTTCGACTTGCGCATGGAGTTGTTTAAACTCTTCCTCCTCCTCTGGCGTCATCGGTCTGCCCACCGAAAGGTTCGTGTACCAAAGAGAAGCGTCATGTCCATCGCCGCGCTTTTGGTAACTCAAGTCCTTGGTCAAACGACTCGTGTGCATCACGATGACCTGCCCGTTGAGTGAAACTCTCTTGGTCCTGATGTGGATTTTCTGTTCGATATTAGGGCTGATGACGAAGACGTGAACATCCTCGATGTCAAACTCGATGATCTTTCCCTTCCAAGTGATCCCACCGTCCGGTTCCTGAACTCCTCCGTGAGGATTGCGGTTCATGAGCTGTGCGGGTAGCATGGGACCGAGCATTTCCATCACGCCCTTCAGTTCGCCGATGGAGGACTCCATGTTACAAAGGTTGGCCAAGACGAGTGTGCCTACAGCGATAGTAAACAGGAAAAGTTCTCGCTTTTGAAGAGGGTTGTTTTGGTCCTTGTCATCAGCTCCGGTCGCGGCCGTGTCATTCTCCAGCCGGATTTCGAATCGCTTCGGGTGCGGCTCCTCATCGTTAAGCTGGAACGCTGAGTTTAGAATAGCCTGGAATTTTGGTCCGTGGAATGTACATTGACGCCTCGAGGTATGCAACCCGCAATGATTGGATATGTTGCACACGAAGACAATATTGCCGGCAGAGCACGAGGGAGAATTTCATGAGCCGCCCTGCGCCGTCCGCAGCGCATGGCACCCGACCCCCCTTTCATTATTACAATTCATCTAGCGTTGAGAGTTCACTAATTAATTCCTACGACCTGTGTGTAATTTTCACAGTCGAAAATTTAAAAAAAAATTTCACGTTACTCGAGTTTCTCCGCCAGTGAGCTCTCCCCGCAAGAAATCGTTCCCCACCTGCCTGCCGGGAGAGCCGTGGCGTGCTGCCAGCGCGAAACGAGCTCTGACGCCTACAAACCTAAAGGGCTACTTCACGCATTGCGCAATGCTTGAAGTATCCCTTTAGGTTTGTAGAAGTCGGCGCACGTTTCGAGCTGGCAGCACGCAGAGCCGCAACGTGCAATAAACTTGCCGACAATTAATAGGTCAGGGTGTTAGAATGTAGACAATTTGACATCAAATTCGAAATTAGCGACTCAAGAAACATTAGTTACGAAACTTCCGTGATCTCTCAGACATTATCCGACTTATTTCTTCCTATTCTTAAGTTTGGACGATAGTCCGCCGCGGGCGGCGGCGCTCATGAAATTCTCCCCTATGTTCAATCGCAATATTGCCGTGCTAAGGAAAAACGCCGTATGAGCCATCAGACGTTGCCAAGTTTCCTCTGGTAAAAACCAAATTTACCGGGAAAATTTTGAATATTATTTTCCAAAATTGTCAGACAATTTTGCACGTACTTTAATCTTAAATCGCTGAAAATTTCAAGTAAAAATATGTATGAATGTTGTCGAAAATACATGTTTTATCAAGAGAAATTTGGCGACTCTCAAATGTTCGCACGGCGTTCTTCCTTAGCACGACAGAAAATAGAGACCCCGCAGTCCCAATCTATGCAATGTAATCGGCAGATATTTACTAATTGAAATTCTTGACTTTCCTAGTTGTCTTTATAATGTTTGATCCTTTAACTCTAGTTTTATTTTTTATCTTGATTCTTGTTTTCTCAAGGATCTTTCTTATGTTTCTTATCAATTCTTATTTTTATATATAGATATATACTGTTTATATTATTTATGAGGGGTGTTGTCGTTCTTTTAGCTTACATGTGTGGTGTAATTATTATTGAAAAAGTTACTAGAACTTATAAATTTTACTTAAGTTTTATTTGAATTTTAGTGCTGGTTAGTTTATTTACTCAAATTACAAGACTTGATTTTAGTTCGTGAGAGGGGGGAAAGTCCTGGAATCTATGGTTTTGTCTATGCTGAACTCATAAAATGTGCCAGCACGTCAAAAAGTTCACCAAAATTTGAAAGCTGTAAAAATTCTTACCAAAGAAACGGTCCCAAGCAGCAGGAGGCTGCCTTTTTTCAGAGAGGACATCCCTCCGATTCCACTTGTAGGCAACTGAAAGAGTTGACGTGCATTCTGTGAAATTTTGCAGTTCCACCTCTGACACTGATTTGACTGATTTGCGTTTGCAGCAAAAAGGTTAATGTCGTTTTTCTTTTTTCTCTTTTTTAAAGTTCATTCTGTGTGAATTTCCTGACATGTTCCTTCAGTGTGCGAAGTTGCTCAATTATCCACGATATTATCAACCGAATTTTTGCACTAACTTTGGGAACTCAAATTATTTTCGCCCGCAAATTGGCAATGCTGCAATGACTCCCACTTAACACGCGTTTGCTAAAATGAGACAAATTTTGCGTGATACCAGGGAAAGAATGTAAAAAATGGAACTTTTAGTAGGTACCGTGAATTTTCTTTCACCAGGCAAATTATCTGTGGCGTCAAATTGTTTCATGAACTCAGACTTTTTATACTGTTTCAGTTTTTGCTCCATATTGTTCTCTTTCCAAGTTCTATATCAGGTGACAACCCATCCGAGGCTTTTAGCCATAAAATGCTCCATTGGTGTCAAGTTTACGGTACTTCGGAGTTAAGGAAAAATCCGTGTGAAAATTCGTACTTTGCGGAATCCCCTCTTGCACCTCCAATACTTAGGTACTTTAGATTAAATTGCAAATGAAACGCTCTGACAAATTTTGAGAAATATATTTACATTTTCCCTGAAAATTCGTTCGTATAAAAACTAAGTTTATCGAAGTTTTAATGCCCATGCGGTATTATTCCCTAGCCAGTGGCCTTATTCACCGTAGGAAATCAATTATAAAATGGTTGTATAGTATAAGTTTTGGATTTTCTACTACGTACATGTTTTACCACATTCTGAAATTACATTCCGAAATAGAAATCGTGATGAAAAAATGAAAACTCCTGACAGGAAAACGGCGACAAAAAGTTTCCATTTTAAGCCTTCCTTTATTTGACGTCTCATACATAATTAGAGAACGAAATCGCGTTACATACGCACTAACAAACTTGAGCAATTGTCAAAAAGTGAGGGAAATTTACCCGTTTTCACAATGTTCTCTCTCACTTTTATGAAACGCATGACACATAAAGCATTCGCCTATGACGTGATTAGTAATTTTTTGCTCCTTCCTAAATGCGATACGTCCTTCTTTTCCTCGCAGACTATTCTGGAAGCCTCGGAATACGGGCTATGTACAGCGGGGGAGACAAAAAAGGCCCTTCAAAAATCTTGCTCACTTATAGTCCGCGCCTCGGTTCAGATCGGTATGGAAAAAGAAAAAAAAAGAAAAGGAAAGGAAACCTGCTCAGTAGGTAGAACAGTGCAATGAACTGTGACAAAAATTAAAAAAATGAAAATTTAAGAGGCTAGAGAGCCTATAGTAATGATTATATTATTCTCTTTTCAGTATTGATTACCATGACCAACTCTCCTCCACATGAATTATTCGAGATATCATAAGTACTAGGAGTTCCGCCCCCTGGCCGCTACGCGGCCCAACCCCCGGTGCGCCGCGCGCCTTCAAAGGCCGCTCGGCCATCGAAATCGTCGAAATCGCCCGTTGGCGGTCAATGAGCAAATAATTTTAATCGAATAACAAAAACGACGTTTCAAAGAAAAATTCCCCGCCAAACAATATTCTCAATGACTTTCTCCTTCCTCTGAATTTTGATTCCTTCTTTAAAATCGATCCTTGGGCCGTCACACTCTCCTACACTCAAAAAAAGGTATGACTCTGAGACCCATAAAAAATGGCTCGGAGATCCATAATTTCTAACCAAAGTGACTTACCGTCCACAGTATGGCTTTCTGAGCCATACTTTATTGGTTGTGAACCTATCAGCATGGCTCCCCGAACTACGAGGGGCGTTCAATAAGTAAGTATCCCCCCTCTCTAAAATCCATAAGAATGGACCAATTTTAAAAAACTTGGGCTCAAAATTTTCCTTAGAATATTTTGAGTTCAACAAAACAAACCGCAACAAAATCGGACTATGTGCGGCCGAACGCGAGCCGTTTGAACGCGCCGAGGTGCTCGACGCTCCCGCCGAATCTGCGAGGATTTGAAGTCCGCTACAGGAGAAGAGCCTCTCTGCCAAAGCCTCAGTCGTTCATCACTGACGAAAAATCAAAGAAATTTTTGTAGAATAAGGGGCTTACCTCACTTCTCCACATAACCAGCTCGATCCAAGCAAGTCTGATACTGAGACTAAGACTAAGAGAACAGCTTTTGGATGCCTCGTGCGTGGAAGTCTTTCAGCTGACCGCGGATGAAAGAGTGGACGGCTTGTTTGACCTCTTCCACTGATTCAAAATTAACTCCTCCGAGTTCAGATTTCAGATACGATGATAAATGGCAAACCAGACCACCATTTATTCCCGTTCCTGAAATCTGAACTTGGAGGAGTTAATTTTGAATCAGTGGAAGAGGTCAAACAAGCCGTCCACTCTTTCATCCGCGGTCAGCTGAAAGACTTCCACGCACGAGGCATCCAAAAGCTGTTCTCTTAGTCTTAGTCTCAGTATCAGACTTGCTTGGATCGAGCTGGTTATGTGGAGAAGTGAGGTAAGCCCCTTATTCTACAAAAATTTCTTTGATTTTTCGTCAGTGATGAACGACTGAGGCTTTGGCAGAGAAGCTCTTCTCCTGTAGCGGACTTCAAATCCTCGCAGATTCGGCGGGAGCGTCGAGCACCTCGGCGCGTTCAAACGGCTCGCGTTCGGCCGCACATAGTCCGATTTTGTTGCGGTTTGTTTTGTTGAACTCAAAATATTCTAAGGAAAATTTTGAGCCCAAGTTTTTTAAAATTGGTCCATTCTTATGGATTTTAGAGAGGGGGGATACTTACTTATTGAACGCCCCTCGTATATTGTATGGCTCCCCGAACTATATTGTATGGCTCCATGATCCGTAACTCGGCCGGTAAGTCACTCTTCCCATACTTGTTTTTTGAGTGTACCTCACCCCGTCCATCAAACGTCTTAAAAATGATTGTATTAGAATGGAGAGGATTTCTTCATGAAAAATTCTAATGTCTGTACGAATATCTTCAGGGATGAATGGCAAAGCTCGCCAGACCACCTTCTACGCGCACCTAATGCTCGTGGAAGTAATACATGATTACGGAGGGCAGACAATACGGAAGGGCAAGTATTACCCCTCGCGCGTGACCAGAGAAACAATGAGCGATGAAAATGAGGGGGTTCCGGCGCCGCACAGTGGACCGTTTCAATCAGAGAGGACGGGCATGAAATTTTTGACTGAAACTGCAAAATTTTACGTTTATTTCGTCACATTTGGACGTATTTCTGTTAAACGGAACTAAGCGCCATGGAAAAGCATTGCGGGTATACTGCCGTGCTAAGGAAGAACGCCGTATGAACATTCAGGCGTTGCTAAATTTCCTACGGTAAATCACCAATTTTCTGGAAAATTTGTAAAGATTTTTCTTCCAATTTTTCCAATAATTTTGTTCTCAACTCCGCCTACAGTTCCTGAAAATTTCAAGGAGAAATATTCATAACTTTCTTCAAAAATAACTATTGTTTGAGAGGAAATTTGGCAACTCTCGAATGTTCATACGGCGTTTTTCCTTAGTATAGGAGTATAGGCAGTATAGGACAGAACGAGCATCGCGGTCCACAACACCCGCCGATCCAAGCCCGCTCCCTTCCTCCCTCTACGGCGCTTAGTTCCGTTTGATTGAAACACGTCCATTTTAAACTTTCAGGGAATCAGGGGTGCTCTTCGAAGAAAATTTCACGAGGAAACCAATGGGATCACAATTAGAATTTCAAAGTCTCGGATTAACGTAGTTATAAGCGTTTAAAGTTTCCAGTTTTTGTCAGACCTCTCCTATTGACTCAATCCTCTGTGCGCCGCGGCCGGTGTGGTGTTCGCGGTTACAGAGAGGCCCTTGGGGGGGAGGGGGGTTGCAAATTGATATGCACCGTGTGTGGGGAAACAGATTTGTAAAGCTGATCGCTCCGCTCCTTTTTGATGACGGTTTCACTCTCACATCCGAGCCCGGCCAGTGGCCATTTCTTACGATTCCGCTCACCCTTGCCTTTCTCGTTTTCCGCCCGCGAAACTTCCAAAAAGTTGTCAAATCTCGTGAGAAACCAGGGGGTCGTCCCCTTAATTTCATAAAAGAAAAAAGGAAATAAAGAACTACAGACAATTTTTCGTCGAATCTTAAAATCTGATTTTTCGACTCCAACTGACAAAAAGCGCTCCACTGAGAATTTTGTCGTCGGGAACGGTTACATATAAAGATAAAATTTAAGGAGTAATAAAGCCCAAGCTTAAAGTGATATTTATACCTATAAGCTCATAATGCATGACCAAAGTCTTCTACTGTGAATATTACCTACCTGGTGGCCGATGTTACCAGCGCATTTTGTCCTCCACTTGGCAAAATGAATTCTGGCGAAAGAAAATATGAGCTAAAGGAGAGGTGCGTTCTCAAAGGAAATCTTCTGACGCAGACTTCTTTGAGATTAAGTTATCTCACTTTTCTTTTCTGATGCACGTTTCTATATGGCACCGAAAGAACTAGTCTAAGTTGCCATTACATTTTCTGGCATTGTGAAATATTATATACAGTATGGAGACGAGTCATTACTAATAAAATTTTACAATAGTAGAGGCCTGTGGCCGCTACGCGACCGCCAGCCACCGAAGAAAACTACACCCAAAAAATCGTAGAACAACCATGTTCAAGTTACCTATTCAAGAGATGAATAGATTTAAAAACCAACGGGTTTTCGCGAAAAAAAGCGTATTTATCTCTGATTTCAACGTTACGCACCATTTTACGTTTACGTTTACGTTTACGGTTACGTTTACGTTTTATGTTTTATTTTGAACACCATTTCTAAAAAGCTATACACACACAGTTTTTTTTAAAGAGTTTCCTTGCAGTTTCCTAAATTATCTCAAACGTAAGTATCGAAAATTCCGACGTGATATTTTCGTTCGTTCTATTTTCTTATTATGTGACCAAATAAAATTGAAAATCATTAGAGTTTCTGAATTGTTACAATGAGGATACATATTTTACCATTCATTGTGGTAAAAATCGGATCAGAAAGTCAAGAATGATGACGCATAATCCTAGTTTAACGGTGGCTTCAAGGGAGGGAAACGCGGTGGAGTCCCCTTTGCAATGTGACGCGCCTTTCATCCGGCTAGCGGCAATATGCCTACACCCATGGTCGAATAGTTATCTCGTTACGCCTGTCATGAATGGAATCAAATATCGACACCTGCACGCTGAAAAAAGTGTTCTTATCTGCGATTGCAACGTTGTACATCTCTACTCATGTTTTATTTTTAGTTAATTTTGTAAAAAATAACATAAAAAAATAAAAAAAAAACTGCACACAGTTTTTTTTTAGAAATTTCCGAGAGATTTCCAGAATTATTTAAAGTAAAATCCCAAAAAATCTCAAGGCGATACTATCGTGCGTTCTATTTTCTTTTTATCAAACCAAAATTAATTTTACGCGAATCAAGTTTCAGAATCGATGCATCGTTTAAACATCGCCAGGGGAGGGAGCACGGTCGAGTGTCGAGTCATCTTCACAGTGTGATGCGCCTTCAATCCAGCCAGCGCGCGGGAATGTGCCTATACCCGTAGTCGAATAGTTATCGCAAATAACTCTTGCGTTGCGTTTGGTGCAATGCGAGAAGTATTCATGCAGGCTTGTGGGTGCCAATATGCGTTTGGCGCCGACCGCACTGTTTGGCGTAATGCGTGAAGTATTCCTGCAGTCTTGCAGGCGCTGATATGATATTGACGCCGACCGTGTTCGGCGCGATTATTCGAACTCCCGCTAAAATATTCGCGGCACCCATGTTGTGTTTCGCACATACTTTATACTTTACATACTTTATTTTTTCGCTGGGAAAGTGGCGAAAGTGCTCAACGTTTTACCTTGAAAACTTCCTTCATTTTTTTTCGCTGTTGGCAGACTATTCTATGCGAATCTCAAACTACAATGTTGGCTTGTTTCTCTTCCAAAAAATAAGACAGGAGCGGAAATGTTGAAACAACAGAATGGAGATACGTAGTTTAGCACTTTGGCCATCGCTACCCCGATTCCGATTGATCGACTGATAATTTGTATTTAATACTTTATGGCAAGCAAACAGTGGGAATGATTGCTCTCTAAGTCGCTGGCTTGGAAATTATTTTCATTTTTCGAAATGTTTTGAATGGAAAATAATATACAAAAAGTGAATGTATGGTACTGGTATACTACAATGTAAATTATTATTACATTAAAAAGAAATTAAATCCTCTGATATCGCGTGGAAGTACAATTTAAATTATTATTACATTAAAAAGAAATTAAATCCCCTGGTATCGCGTGGAAGTACACTTTAAATTATTATTACATTAAAAAGAAATTAAATCCTCTGGTATCGCGTAGAAGTGTTTGTGTGAACTATAAACGCAGCTCGAGGTCCTCCTGACACTTTTTTCAGTAGCGTGGCGTTTCCTAAATATGAACAGTGGGTACTTTACAGCTGACTAACAAATACAATATAGAGAGAGAGTAAATCATTGGTAAACAAGGCTAAAAAAACATCAAAACACCAAAAAGGCAGAAAACTTCGAGCCGAGGATTTTCTTATCTCGTTTTTGCAGCTGGAATGAGCCGGTAACGACTCGAAACGCTCTGCCATTTAAGTGTTTTACGGTTTTTATTAGCCTTTCTTACCAATTTTGTACATTATTTCTGTTGGATTCGTATTTTTTGGCTATGTTTTTATGTATGCTTCATCGTTTACAGCCAGAATTGATATAATGGTAGGTGTATTGAAGTTTTTTAGCCAACGTGCGTTTGAATTCAGCATAAAGCTGAGAATCTCAATACAGAGGGAAAAAGCTCATATGAGCCATTCAGGAAGGTAATTGCAAACGCGTTTCGGCCTTGTTGGGCCAATCCTCAGTGCAGCGTAGCCGAAACGCCAACATGCTGTCTTAGGACCCGTGCGTCCATCGCAATCAGTTTGTATTGTTCAGTTTCAGTGTTTGAGTTGTGATTATATTACAATTCTTGTTATTTGTTTTGCTTGATTTCAGAATGAAAGCAAAGGTCTGGAACTTGGCGAGATATCAGCGGGCCCATTCACTCACCATCATTTCGAATCAACCGCTCGCGATGGTCTACGAGCTGAGATTAAAAAATCAGCGAATCCTATTGATTCAGACAACGAGTCAACTGCAAACTTGCTTCGAACCAAACTGCCACGTCTTCAAAGAGACAGATGATAGAGAAGTTTACAAAATTTACACGGAAAAAAATAGATTGCTGATTTGACAATTAAATTGTTGAAAAAATATATCCAACATATTTCAAATGTACATTCAACAATAATGGAAAGCTATAATTTAACTACGGGGATGGTTGAATTAGCATTGTTGCATTGTAAAAGCTACATTGAAACATGTCGGACACTTTTTTTAACCACAAAACTGTTAAATCAGCAAATTTTATTTTTTTTCCGGGTACAATTCTTAAAAAAACAGACTCGAAAAACTCTGCACGAATTTTGGGTTGCAAAACATGCCCAAAATTATGTCGAAATTGTTCCCTTTCTTTTTCCCTCCTTTCTTTTTTCCATGTGCACAGCCAAAAAAAATGAGAGAAAGGTAATCGTCACTCAAGGACTTCACTGCAGCGGTTACAATGTCACATACCATTTTATATTCCAACTTCTTTGAATATCATTAAGCGAGTCCTCCAAGTTTGATTTTTTTATTCATACCAGGAAGCTAAACAAGAATGTCAATCGTTTATTTGTTGGGAGTTCGTACGATTTTATTTTCATAAGAAATAGTTTTTTTATGAAAACAATTCTTATCAAAAATACTTCTACTTTAATTACTTGTAAACTTGTGTAATTACGTATTTTTTACCGTGCAATATATTACTTTTAAATAAAATAATTTGCATGTTTTTTTCAATTTTACAATCACCTTTGCAGTTCTTAAACACCGATTGAAGCAAACTCTTTTTGTCTCGTGAAAATAGGAAAAAAATATGTTTTTCTAAATCACGGATATCAGTAGAGTTTTTTAAGATCATCGTCTATGGTTGCATTAAGCTTTATGTGTACAAGGTGGATGTTTGGGCTAAATTGTGCAATTCGGACCTATAACATCTGGCTCACAAACACTCATGTGCACAGAGAAACTAATGGTATAAACGTTGTTTCTAAACTGAGCCACAAACTGAAGTTCTTAATTGCAAACTGTAGTTCATTTAAGAAAAACAAAAATCTGTTAAGGTCAGAAGTAATGTCAACCCATCACGACACATGATATTTCTATTGAGAAGAAAACATCTTCAGTGAATTGCCTGCACAATGAGATAGTGTAAGATTTAAGCACCACGGGCACATGCTGTTTTACGGAGGTGTTGAGAGTCCAAAGACAAGAATTAATCACAAGATCAGCAGAACCGTAAAACATATGTACTTCAATACTTCGCAATTTCGTTTGAAGCCTTGCATATCGACAATGATAGTGAAGAAAAAAAAGAAAGAAAAACTGAACAAACGACGACTCATTGAAGCACTCTACATATCATGCTCAAATTACCTAATTTGTTCGCGATTTCGAGGACCAACAGCATTTTGATATATTTAAATAATAGATTTCTCAGAAAATCGACAATGTCGCAATAAAAATCAGTAATGGTTTACTTCACCGGCACAATATGCAATGCTGGATAAGTGAAGGTATAAGAGAATCTATCGAGGCTCCAGTTAGTATCGCATGCGACGGATATTAAACGAATTTCATTACAACACCTGGATGCCACTATTCGGGCTCCACGGATGTCCGCGTTGCATACGCACGAGAGTGAAGGCGTTTTGACTTCAAACACTAGCCGCCTCGCCAGCAGCGCTCAGTGTAACGAGTCAATAAAAGGAGTCGAATATAATGCGGAAACATCAAAAGTTCATATCGATGTTAATCCAGAAAGTAGAGGTTTAGGAGTCGTTTCATTGATTTTCTTGACTTTCCTTCAACAAGCACCCCATACAGTTACACTACATTTTGCAATAGGAAAACATTATTTCTGGCTCATTTTGGAAACAATAAATATGATATTGGTTCCCCTGAGCGGAAAAGTGCTTTTATGGAAGAGCCTGAGCTAGTGGTTCCTTATTGCAAAGTTTAATCCAATTTATAATGTGAAGATATTTACATCCAAATTTACAGTTTTCGGTAAGAACTTCTTGTCCAACCTCTCTGGAGGGCTTGTTTCATACTGCGGCGGGCTTTACTATGAGAATCTAAAATGAGAAAAAGGCCTTAAATTCTTCATTTATATTTTGAAGACATCTCTCTGACATGATTCGTTGAGCAACGAATCATGCCAAGCACGTATCAAAAGTATCAGCGATATCAAAACTGAAACGCTAAAGATACTCACAGCCCAGGCCTGAATGTAACTATATTTGCCTTAAGAGATACCTTTGTAACCAGTGCAAACGAAGAATTGTAAGCGCTTTGCCATTTTTGATCCTCATATTGAAGCTCCTTCGTTGGCGCTGCGAAGTGGTGAGTGTCTGTAAAGTTAAAACGCCTTCCTATCCGTGCGTATGCAACACGGACAACCATGGAGCCCGAACAGTTGCATCCCAGGAGCTAAAATGAAATTTGTATGATGTTCGTCGCATTCGACACCGACTAAGGGCTCTTCGTTTGTTTCTCCTACAGCATATATTAATTCCAGCAGGGTTGCCTATTGTGCCAATGAAGTAAATTGTTACTTATTTTTATCGCGACATTATTGTCGATTTTCTGAATAATCGTAATAACAGCGTTGCTGTCCAGGAATGTGGCCTGCGCCCCTGCCCTAAGAACCCCCTGGCTTCTCTGATCTAAGAACGACAAAAGTTGTTTCATGGTCATCTCACGAAAATTCGAGCTCACATCTCAACATATTTGTATTTTTATTCGCTGAAGAGTTTCAATCAGAAAAAATCCAATCAGAAATGCGCATCAACCTTCTGTCAGTCCAGAGCTCGATGCGGCAGGACCCAAAGCTTGTAAATAATTTCTTACGTTACTGATTGCTTCAGAATCATCAAATTGGAGCACCAGTGGACTCAGTTAAAAAAAAAAAAAAAAAAAAAAAAAAAAAAAAAAAAAAAAAAAAAAAACGAATAAACGATGAAGAATTCACAGGAATCCAGCCTATAGTTCTCGCGCGGTAAACATCAAGTAAATGTTTCTTCTCAAGTTTTTCTTCAGACTTTGTCAAATTACGTAACGCTTTAGGGAACAGGGCCGGATTAAGGGGGTGGCTACATGGGCCACGACCCATGGCGGCAAATCTATAGGGAGCGGCAAATTTTGCAATTTTTTTTAAACGTAGATATAACAAAAATTCGGATTTAGAAAAAAAAATTACAAGCTAGAAAAAGCGACAAAATCTCTAATTTTCTGAGAGTGTAGTAATTCTACTTTTGTCATTTTCAGTGATACAAGAGACAGCACCTTTAATTAGTCGAGTTAAGAGAGAAACCAAACACGCAATGTGGCCTGGAACGGCGCGACTTATAGTTNACCCCAATCATGACATCAAAATCAAATTCCATAATTTTCACCCCCCGAGCCCCCATTTTGGCCGCCATCTTGATTTTGGGGGGTTGGACGCAAAATTGAGCTTGACAACATCGAAATTCTTTTTTTACGCATCGAAATGAAGAGATTAAGATATTTTCCACACTTGCTTCACTTACCGTTCCACGGGAAGCTTTTTTTGAACATAAGAACCTGGACTATTAGAGAGAAACGATGACGAGGACTTGAGATGAAAAGGAGAAGCCCTCGGCGCGGCGATCGGCATGTAACACATATTAGCGCCTACAAGCCTGCACGAATACCTACTTCACGCATTGCATCAAACACAGTGCGGTCATTGCGGACAGCGTGAAACGGATAGCGCCTACAAGAATGCATGAATATACCTAACGCATTGCGGCAAACACAGTGCGAACAGCTTGAAACGCATAGCGCCTACAAGACTGCGTAAATACTTCACGCATTGCGTCAAACACAGTGCGGTCTGCGAGGCGCGGCGGCGGAAGTTAAATTCATTTATCCACATTTATGTTTGTTCTTTCATAATTTTTTCGTTCATTTCTTATGAATGGAAGGCCTTGTCCACACAGAGATAGGTTTACGAAACTTAACTTTCGCGCAAAGTTCCGTGAACTTTTGCTAGTAGTATTGACAAGGCTTTCCCAAAAAATGTGTTCAACACGAGTAAACGCGTCTTATGCACCCCTCCCCCGCTGGCACGTTAATTTGATGGTTTTTATTGATGTTTCAAAACGAATGAGAAGGGGGCGGCAAAATACAGGCTGCCCATAAGCGGCAAGTAGGTAAATCCGGCCCTGTTTGGGGAGGAGGGGGATCGAAGAGAGCGTTAGGTACGCCATTTTGTTTTTACTTGTTGAAGGATGGGGATTTACGTCACCAAAGCGTTATATCGTCACCTTCCGGCCAAAATATCACCAGCGCCATGCGACGTTTCAAGATTTCCGTCGCATTTTTAATTTCTTACAGAAAAAATTTTGGTTGAATCTGTTCGAAAATGTCACTCAATTTAATCGTCGAGCACAAAGAAAATTCAGTGAAATTTTATTTTTATNTTCAAGAGATCTGTTAATAATAGAAATATTAGTTATCTCTAACTTTGCTGCATTGTATTTTCCTGTCGTCTCAACAAGCTCACAGATTAAAGCGTCTCTTTGAGTGGTTAGATCTAGACTAGCATCAGTTTGGACACCCACCTGCCGATGTAGGAACCTTTCGTGATCAGTGTCTTTAATCTGAGGGGAGTCCGACAATGGTGATGTTGATGATATTGTGGTACAGTGTGGAGAAATTTTCGGACAGCTTCGTTCAACGATTTTTCTGTATAAAAATGAAATGGTGGCGGAAATTTTGAATCGTCGCATGGCGCTTGTGACACTTTGGCCAAAAGCTGACGATATGTAGATTAATGAGGTCATAATGCATTGCGTCACAAGATAGCTTCTCCTGTTTACGATGCAATCCTATTAGTCTATGTGATTTACATCGCAAGACTACCAAAAAAAAAGCCGGCATACAATATGCATCATACGTGACGTTTTAATCGTAACAAGTTACGTCATTCTTATCAACTGGATGACTTCAAGATGTGTTTGACCGATTTCGCTCATGGAATGAGATCTAATTTCGGAGCGACTGCTTACGTGCGTATCCAGGTATGCACCCAGTGCGCTTATCACGGCGACAAATGTGCACGTAGTGAGACGACCGTAGGAAAAGTACATTAATGCATTATGAAAATAATATTGACGCTCATCGAATGGATTTATTACGGTCAATGCGTTTCCGATGAGTAGTATTTACCGCAGCGAAAGTCGGAAACATGCCCGTGGGCAATGTTTATCGTTAACGGTATTTACACGGATGCACCGAAGTATGTTGTCAAACTGTTCGATGATGAAATGCATTTCTTGAATAGCGCGCTACTCCAATTTGCAGCATGTCGGATGTGGATGATTCAAGGGCACATCATTGCCGATTAATTTTAAAATGATGAATTTTACAATGTGTGGCCGTTTCTACTGCCTTGAGGCGATGAATGAGCATACTTTATCCTGGGCAAATACTGCCGTGGTATAAGCAAGAACGCCGTAAATCCATCAAGATTTTCCCTCGTTTTTAGGAACTTAACACTTTATAAAATAAAAACTTTTTTACCCATGCACCTCAAATTGGACGTATTTCTGCCAAACGGAACTATGTGCGTAAAGACATGAGCCCTGAGACCCATAAGAATATATGCATTACAGGGCTCACGTCACAATGCACATAGTTCCATTTGATAGAAATACGTCCAATTTTCAGGTTAAGTTCTTGACGGTATATGCGAAAGAATTCTGTAAGAGCATCGCCCCAAGGTACACAAGTTTTTCTGCTATGATATATTGTTTCCAAAAAACGTAAATGGCGTTTGCGGCGTTTTTGCGTTGCACGGCAGAATAGACAAAGGCCTCTTTACCTTAAATACACATGTTCGACCTCAATAATAATAATTTTTAACCTTAGATATTTATTTATATTTTTTAAGGCTTTCAAAGCGTATTTTTTAAAGGGCAACGAGATATGTTTCCTTTCTTTCAGAGAACCTCAAAAAACTTCAACTTTTTTATGCGAAATAAATATTTTTAAGCTAAATTTTAAATTGCAGTTGGCAAATTTTACATAATGATCAGATCCTCTGATCGGTGGAATCAGATTGGAAAATTTCAAAAGTTAAAATCACTTTCACTGCACGAATTTCCTAAAAAAAAAAAAAAATTGATTTTGCCTTGATGATCCCATTTTTTCTATAATAATTCTCGTTCAGTCTTTTGAATTGAAAATATAAATAATGTCAGGAAATTTGCAACATCGGAAACCGGGTTGAGCGTTTTTACCATATGTCACCCTCGATATCCTCCTTATTTTCCGGTTAAATTTGACAACAGCTAATGCCGCTTGGTTCCCTCCCGAGAAACGGAGCCCATATCTTTTTTAACGATTAGTGTAAACGTTAATTTTTCAAGTTGGCAACCGGGTGTAAACTGAGGGGATGCTACGTCGCGACGCTGACGATGGAGTCAATAGCACTGTTGTCGTAAATATTACGTTACTTCTGTCTCGTCGTAAATATTACGTTACTTCTGTCTCGAAGCGCGACATAGTAACGAGTGGTAAACACTCCGCAATTCCTTGAGATGACGTTTTTATGAATGAGTTAAGACCACGTTTGTTTGGTCTCCGCGAGTGAATCATAGTCGCGCGACTCCCAAGTGCGAATGTGGGTGAGTTATCAAAAGCAAAATATTTTGCAACGTGCGTCGCGCTGCTGCCAGATCTGCTTGTATGTAGAAAAAGGACCAATATACTATCGTATTTCTGGGTCATCTATAAAAGCACCTCGATGGCCGAAGTGCGAAACCACGTATCTCCACTAGTGACGTTGCAGACCCCCTGTCCTGCCGTGCTAAGCAAGAATGCCGTTCCTAAATCCATCAAGATTTTCCCGCGTTTTTCGGAACTTAACACTTCATAAAATAAAAACTGTTTCACCCATGCACCTCAAATTTCCAGGTTAAGTTTTTGATAGTACCTATTTGCGAAAGATTCTGTAAAAAAATTGTCCCAAGGTACACAATTTTTCCTGTTATGATACATTGTTTCCAAAAAAATTAAAATGGTGTTTACGGCGTTTTTGCTTTGCACGCCAGTGTCATAATTTTTTTTTTTTTTTTTTTTTTTTTTTTTTTTTTTTTTTTTTTTTAGGAAAACAATTTTTTGATGACTTCTTTGATTTTTCTTCCCTATGTTACTAGATATTCTGTGTAGATTTAAACTATGCATGTAAAATCGGTTATTTTCTCTTCGAGATAATGAGGTGGGAGTAGAAATTCAGAACATAGCAATAGAGATACGTGGTTTTGCACTTAATTTGCCATAGACCTACTTCTTTTACGGAGGCCTTATACGGAGATGGCCTTTGTGTTAAATCTTTAACGCGCCGCGCCGGATAGGTATAGTAGTTCCGTATTGCAAACTGAATTCCAATTTTATTCATAGAGTCTTTCTCCCTTCCTCAACAAGAACGCCGTAACATTATTGTAGATTAGGTATTCGGTTATTCCCCTGACGAAATGTCCGATTTGAAGAAAACCAACAGAGATTTTATTTGTTTAAAATCTTTCGTATATTTGTACCATTGAGAAGTAATAGTGAAAGGAAGAAGCCCGCCAGTGCTCTTCCGCGCATTCTTTTGATACAGAATTCTGTTGGAAACAAAATTTTCAAGCCTGGATCGAACTTTATGGCGTACATGTACAAAGTACATGTTATTATGCTTCGAATTCAAACAGATGTATTTTCTTCTTGAATGTATGGTGCCTGGTATCAATTAGCACACTCGTAGTGAAATCCTGGTTCGGATAGGCAACTAAACTAACTCCTTTGCAAAGCGTAGAGTATCACGGGGGTTTGAAGGCGCTCCGAGTCGAGTCAAGAATGGTAGTTTACCAATGAAACCTTCATGATGTAGGTGCACATTTTTGAAAGTTGGCAATTTAACACACATTGACTGTGAAACTACCAGACCACTTATCTCATTCGCTGTGTTTAAAAATCTCCGCCCCCATTTTAGTTTTTTAAGGGAAAACAAATCAATATCATTTCTTGAAATTTTCGCAGAGTTTTCTTTGAACAGAGAGGTAAAAACATGGAAGTTTTCAAGAATTGACGTTGAGTGGTTTTCAATTTAAAAAATAAAGTATGACAGGAGGTCTACAGCGTTGCAAACCGAGATACGTGGTCTGATAGTTTCACTGTCGACATGACGCTTACAAATTGCCGGCCATCGCTGACTGCCTGCGACGCACAGTGGATCGAGTCAAGAGGGGACGTCGGACAAAATTTGGAAACTTTAAATGCTCATAACTCCGTGTATGCAAACATTTGAGGTTCTAGAAGCGGTTTCATTGGTTTCCTCGTGAAATTTTCTTCGAATAGCACCCCTTGAAATTTAAAATGTGACGAAATATACATCAAAATTTGCAATTTTGGTCAAAAATTTCATGTCCGACTTTTCTGATTGACTCGATCCCCTGTACGACAGAGCGGCAACAATAGACCGAAAAATTCGGGCGTAAATAATCGTGGAATGTGTTGAAAATTCAAATATTCAAATTGTCAAATACAGCTAGGCTCTTCGGCATAACGGACTTTGGTCCAAAATTAGTTACTGATGCCAGAGAATGAAGAGTGCTTTAACAGGCATTTGTGAAAACTTGTCTACAAATGTCAGACCTATTTATGTAACTTTCGCCCTTTTTTTAAAAAATTAAATGTATTGCCCGCAACGTTCTCTTCAGAACAGCACTTGACATAATTTTTGGTCGAAATCTCAAATTTGATTTTTCAACCAGACTCGACAATATTGCTCCGGAAACTGAACATTTTGCCTCCGTGTATCAAGATCCCTATTTTCATGCATGACTATCCGTGAAAAAGTGGTAAAATAGTGCGGAGTTCACTCTAATTTTACGGGGAAAGAAAACCTAAAAAGTTCAAAAATTTCAATCAGTCACCTAGTTGAAATTTCTCATCTTTTTGGCTTTTGCCTTCCCTTCAAAATGGTGTGGGCCCAGCACTTTAATACCATACATTTTTTTTTGCCACTTACGGTAAAAAAATTCTACCGCAAGTGAGTAACGAAATTTCTTCATTTTTGTTTATCGAATTGACATGTGGTCCACCCCGCTCCCCCCACGAAGTTACTATTTTACCATCTTGTTACATACAGTTCGGGCCACATTTTTACTGTTTTTATTGTAATCCGTAACGAAGCAACAAATCCAAGAAATCGAGCACACGGAAAAAAAAATTGATAGTAGATTTAGCATTTATTCTGTTAAAAAAATGTGCAACAAGCATCAAATGCTGATTTTACAATTAAATAAATCCTAACTCAATATTGAATTTGTTCATATAACCGTGGACGTAGTTAATGTAGCATTTTTGAAATTGTAAAATCAGCATTTATACTTGTCGCACATTTTTTTAACATTTTAAATGCTAAAGCAACAATTAATTTTTCTCCGCGCGTGCATATGGCAACCCACGATGCAAATCGAAACCTGCGAAGATGTGCACGTCACAAATGGCGCGCTTGTGAACCCGCGGCGGTGCAGACAAACAGCCCAGCACTGTTGCCGGAATAACGCCTCAGACCATCGAATTTCCCCGTAAAACCCGTTGAAAAACCAGCGATTCGGCAACCTCGAGCGTAACGCGCCACGCCGGAGCAGAGGAGGGGCCGCGTCGACCCCCGTTCCGATTGGCGGACGTGGTCAACAACACGCCACTCGTGACGTCGCACAGCGTCGCGACGCTCAACCCGCAGCGCCGATTCGAGAATAAACAAACGCGTTATAAATCCACCCGAGGACGGTCGCCGACGAACCACTTCCCAAACCAAAGTCTCGCTAACAAGTTCTCTTTTTCAAATCGTGCAAAATAATTAGTTTCTGTGTTGTTGTTTTTTGTTCGCACGTTGTTCGTCGTTGTGTTGTGTGGATTATGTGAATTAGTGCTGTGAGGAACGACTTTTCCTCGGTCTTCCGGACCTGAACTTTTTTTGATGCGTCTGTTGACCCCACGAGGCGTGATGTCGCTGAGCAAAGGGATCAGACACTACCGGAAGTGCATGTGCCAACAAACAAGGTATCTACTCGATTTTAAAGACTTATATGAAGTCTAAAAGTGTTTATTGTACAAAATTTCTTATGTGCAAATAATTAAAAAAAAAAAAAAAAAAAAAAAAAAAAAAAAAAAAAAAAAAAAAAAATAAATAAAATAAAATGTATCTACTCGATTTAACGGACTACGACGGTGGGAGGGGTTTCTAGCTCACAAATAAAAAGAGAACATGCTTTTTTTAAAACGGTAGTTGAAAAAAAAAAAGTACCTACATAAACAAAACAAACAGGTTAATCAAACAAGGGTAAAAATGGTAAAAAAGTGACGATTTGGCTGTTTAAAGAAAATCTCACTATGTCGACTATGAAAAATTTATTAAAGCTTGTGGCACACCTGAACTTTAAACTCGAAACAAAAAAAAATTGTAAAAAATTCAAAAAAAAAAAAAAGTACCTACATAAACAAAACAAACAGGTTAATCAAACAAGGGTATCATCGATAAAATGGTAAAAAAGTGACGATTTGGCTGTTTAAAGAAAATCTCAGTCGACTTTGTAAAATTGTATTAAAGCTTGACGCACACCTGAACTTTAAACTCGAAATTCGAGGTGTAAGTAAACAAATCAGCTTTAGGATTCAATTTTCTCACTGAAAAAAGATCTCCGGAATACCCTGAAATGAATGTTTTTCGGAATGACTAACCCCTATTTTTCGAAAATCTCACATAACTGCTTCCTTTATGATGGAGGGTAACCCCAACAAATAAACACCTTGTATTTAAATCAAATTTATCTTTATGATTGAACGTTAAGCAGTGGATAAACATGTAGTAGCTGAGCTTTATACTCGAATATTCTTGTCAGAAAAATCTTGTTGGTTTGACTCCCTCTCACATGACTAAAAATAACGCTTCACTTAACTAAAAATTTAAAGCTGAATTGAACCTAATCCTAAGATTAATCTTAGTATCGGAAGATAGGGAAAAAAATCACACGGAATAATATTTGTGCCTGTTTTCTTTTCTCACCCTCGTAAAAGAAGGAAAAACAATCAGATGGATGTATTTTTTTCTTCCTCTTTTTCCATGTACTTATAGCCCATGCATCTACGTATATTTTGGTACTTGACCTTTGACGCGTGTTCTATAAGTGCTGCGAGCTCAATCGGACTTCGATTGGCGCCTTGAATCCACGAGGATATGAAGCCCTAGTAAAAACGGCAGTAGGGTGGCGTGCTTTGCGATATATCGATTCATCTACCACTTAAACCAGTAGAAAAGGGTCGATAAACAGGATGTTCGCAGCGAACACCTTAATAATCGATTCTTTACCATAGCTTCAAATGACGAAATTTCGATAATCGATCATTCACGCCTCGCCACTGAAAAACGGGCACAAGAGAGCAAGTGAAAAAAGAACATCAATAAATAGAAACCGCTGAAGCGTTTGATAAGACACAACTAGCACTCGATCAAACAGCCACGGTGAGCGAATCCACGGGTCGAATTCGACGCATCCTTTACATAAACAACACCTGTAAGTTACAGTAATATCACGTGCAACTCCACGTGAAAAAATATTAATTTTGAACATTTTATACATATTTTAGAATCGAAATCGTCTTAATTTCCTATCATATTAATAAATAATTCTCTCCTTTTTTCCCCGATTTGACTAAACATTATTAAACCCTTAAAAATTATGAGTTTCTTAAGGAGAGAATTAATAGGGTGCCATTCTCCTATGCTACCGTGCTAAAGAAGAACGCCGTATGAGCCTTCGCACATTGTCATATGTCCTTCAATAAACACTGAATTTAGGGGAGCGAATTTTTCACAGAATACGCATTAAGATTAGTTTTACTTGAAATAATTAGTATCTCATTTTTTCTTAAAAAAAAAGTTTGCCTTGTCCTCTATCAAAGTCCCACAACTAAAGTTTTGAATGGTTTTTTGAAGGCAATTGATGTGTTCGAGACACATCATAGATCAGATTTTAAGATTTTCAAGGAATTTTATTGGCAAAAATGGCTGAGAAATCAAAGAATTAGTACCAGTATGTGCGTAGGACAGGCGCTTCGTTATGACTTGGCAATTATTCCGAAGTTGAAACTGCCTGAGAATAAAAATGATAATCATGCGGCAGTGAGAGTGTCAAACATTATCAAACTGAGAAAGGGGAGGTGAGGATGTCAATTTGCGACCATTGCACTGCTTGACGCAAGTAATTTTAAGTGCCTTGTTATGCGAGTGAAAATTCTAACTCCTCCACCTGTGATTCGTCGAAGCAGATCGAACGATGCAAATTTCACCTTGAACCCTGCTAACTCTCAACGAATCACTTTTTACCAATGTCGCCAGTTTTACAATTTGGTCAGGCCTATAAATATTGAGCTGAAAGTAAAACATGTTTGTGTACGTTTCTTGGTAAAGGAATATTTCATTGCAATCGAAAGAGTTACATTTTTCAATATTCTAGGGTACGCTTTGATAAATTAACGAGTCATCAAACTTTAGTTCATTGACCTAATATGGAGAACTTAGAATAATTTGTACATGACCGATTATTTTTAATGCTCAATTGACACATTGAACTGAATGAGAATTAAAGAACCTTGATTATAAACTCAAATCCAATAAATACAAATATAAAGTCACTAAATTTAAAGGGATAAATGAAATCCTAGAGAAAGCTTGATGACATCATATTTGATATTGATACAATAATAATGATAATGCATTTTTTGAAATAAATAACATGAGTCCATTTTGAAATAATAGAAAAATACAGTTTTAACACAAAAAAGCATTATCAATAACACGAAAAACACTTTTTTTAGATATAACATTTACAAAAAATTAATGCAATATCAGAACCATTATTTTTATCATAACTCTTTACCAACTAGATCAATTCTTTTTTTGTTAAATAGTACGCTGATATATTGGAAAAATAACTATATAAGCAAGTATATAAGGTTTTTTTTTTTTTTTTTTTTTTTTTTTTTTTTTTTTTTTGTAAATAGGATTATTCAGCATAAATACACAAATGAAATTAGAAAAAGGTAAATCGATCAAAATAAAAAGGAATTAAGAATTAACAATGCATGATTTACTCAACTGTGTTGTAATGCATTCGAATTCCTCTCTCTTTATAGACCCTCGGACGACCGATGTGTCTTTACGTCCCAAAGTATCTTCAACGCCATTGTAGCTTACTTCGACGGCAATACGAAATTGTCGCAGGCACGCTTTTGAGTTTTCAGAATGTCTGGTAATTTATTTTTTAAGAAGTAAAATCTGTCAACACGGCAGGTACTCAATTTACCGTACATGCAAACTGATTCATTTCCAATTGTGGCTCGTGGCAATATTGCCAGTTCTCTGTCCTTCTTCGAGTTTAACAATTGGCGTTGGTACGTTATACTGCTTTAAAAATAAACAAGGCGCAACTCAACAAATGGCGCTGAGCCAAGTAGTACAATGTGCAAGTGCATAGTCAGTAAACAAAAAGTCGCTAAAGTGTGCGGGCACGTGTTTTTTACTTTTAGTTGTATTTAACAGTAGTACACGTGTTTACAAAATAAAATTCAGGAGAACAATAAGAGGGAATTTACTTAATGGTAAATGATGGACATGATATTATGTAGAGGCACCGATGATCGATGGGTGTTTGAACACATTGAAAACTCAGGTGTCGTATTGACACAATATATCACAATTTTATTGATTTAATTTAAAACATATTATAATTAACAGAAAATAAATACATAAATTAACTCTTGGTTTTCTAGCAAAGGTTAACCCCTTGCCTTTGTAGAATGACGCATTCGCAACGACAATAATAATTTCGACCGCGCTTCAAAGTTGGTTCTCCTGGTACAAGACATACCTCAAAAATGTCTGTAAAATGTTATTTTGATCATCCTTCGAACTTGCTGTGTTGTTTTTATCATTTGAGAGCAAATTGAGATGATGCGCTAAATTAGGAAAAGAGCGTCAAATCAAAACTCCCGCCAAAAATTTGAATAAGCTGTGTTTGGTACGCAACGGTTGATGGCGCCACTTTGCCAGTGTTGCCGTTTAGAGATTTAAATTAGAAAAACATTTAGTTCGAGTTCAGTTGGTTGAACTTTTCAGTTTTCTTATCATTCAAAAATTTGTTTAACTTAATCGTAATTCTTCTCTTATAAAACGTATAATTGAAGAATCGAAGCATTACAATTGAGCAATACTTCCCAGCGAAGGAGTTGTGATAGAAACGGTAATTTTTGCCCTCATTTATCCTCTCCTGACTCGATCGTTATTCTTTGTTTATGTTCATTGTCTTATCAGCTAGATGAAGGAGGCTTGGTTTTAAAGTGTAACAATTTAGGTGCTCTGCCTGTAATGAGACCTAATTTCATTTATTTATTTGCATACTCTGCCTCTAGTATGTTTGCATCTTTCTTGTTCAGTGGAGCTTGAGTGGAGCAAGCAAGCAATAACCCCAAAGCGTACATCAGGCATCAGGAGGTTAGACCTCTCCACTCGCTTAAAATTGTTCCCTGGAAAGGTTTTCCTGTCAGGGCATGACATCTGACATTCTGTTGGCTCAATCGAAAATCGTTAATTTATGCTTTTTTTTCAAAATCAACTGTAAATTCCAATTCTTTTCCACATGATGTATGACTTTCTATATGTAGTGATTTGGAGGACAAAGGACCTAGTACTTGAGAAGTTATAAAACCATCAGAATTGCAGAATTACCTTGTGTTCCTTTATGCAGTGTTCAGAAATGCTATTTCTACACGAGCCTTTAGTGCGAGTAACCATTCATTTTCGTGTAAATCATGAACTCTAGGGATGACCTACAGTAAATAGTTTGATTCTTTCCGGAAACTTCAGGAAAGTCCTACGCAAGTAGTAACCTGAAAGTGTGAGACCAATGTGAAAATTTGTTTGGCATAATTAGAGACAAGGCATAATGAGGCATAATATTCTCTAATATCACCCCCTGTAGTTTTCCCAGTATCTCTTTAGTCAATTTAAGGTCCACCAGGAACTAATTATAAGTAGATTTAAAGGTATCATCTGAAATTTCGGTCATCCAATTAAATTTATAACTGATTTGAGTTGGCTGTTGTGGAATCAAAGCTGACACTGGATGTCTGCTGAAGATTCAATGTTTCCTGTGACATGTCGTATTCATAATTGGATATTAGGCCTGTATCCTAACTTAATTGATTATCAGCCCCGAGCAACTAGGTATTTTTAATTGAAATTGGGCCTCCCTGAGACGGTTAATTTGAAAGTGATGATTCGACCACACACTATCATCAATCTTTTCTATTTGTTATAATTTAGAGTCCACACCAAACAAATTAATGCACTTTTAGAAAGCGATTGAGTGTCTGTCATCTTGATTTTTTTTCTACTTTCCATGCCAAACTGAATTCAGCTGATCCTCTATCGCACTATAAGAAGATTTAAACTCATTTGGAGTAGACTCTAACAAGCTAAATATTTTATGATCTTTTTCATTTTTGAGTTTCCTTTTGTACTAAACTTGGCCTGTTCGTTTTATGTTGCAGGCACATAAATGCACAAAAATCCGTGAATGATGGAGCGCTGGAAGCAACTCTAAGTAAATTGAAAATGTCACCGTCACATGTGAAAAACAAGTCCTTGAATGATTGGAAAGTGATTGTAACGGTGAAAAACCTTCTGATGAGACTATCAAATGAAAAAATGTTACCGCTGAAGAATGATTGGTATTTAATGCTTCAGAAGTTCCCAAAACTAACAGGTGTCACACAGATTAAGTTTAAAGGTACTGACAGTTTGGAATCGGCTGCCTCGTTAGTTAACCCAGCTCTGAAACCAGCTCAGCAGTCAGAGATCACCAAAACTAGTGCTGCTGTACCTGCAGCCGTGCCTCCTGCAGAGGATGCAGACAAAAGCAGGTTACCCAATGTTTTCCACGGACTCACGCAGAGATTGGCATCCAGTCCTTCGGCAACAACCGTCCCTGCCTGGGTGACTGATTCAAAAACGAAGTTAATGAAAGTAAGTATTATATCAAGGAAGGTGTTAAAATTTTCCGAAATATTTCTATAGAGGTAGTTTCTGTTTCATCTGATGAGCCCTATGTTTGCTTAAACCGCACTTGCTTATTACACTCCCTTTTAGCAATTGCCAAAAATATCTTCACAAATATGTTGCTGCAAAGTTAATTTTAATGGTTTTTAGGGCTTGAATTGAATTTAAAATAAAGTGTTATTGAATAGAAAGTATGTAAAATTTTGGAGGTTTAAAGTGTTGAAGTAGACATGAATTAGGAAGATTTAAGTAAGTTCATAGTTGTAGGTATAACAATCTTCCATCAAAATATTAGAAAATTGTGAGCTTTCTGGTTAAAATATGCAAAACTTTCCTTGAATATTTAAAAAAATCAACCACCTAACTACTTTGAGTTTTGACTGATATGATTTTGGCTTGATTTGAAAATTAGCCTTTCACAATTTACATCCTTGTTTACCATGAATAGGTTTTAGACAACCGTGCTCTCGAGTTCACCTAGTTTTTTTTTTACTTGAAAGTGATTTTTCCAAACTCCATCATAATTGAATAGGTACCTATTTTGAAAATTTATTTCTCATGACATCTTTGACCTAATGACATTTTAAGAGGTTTTCAAAGAAGTCTCTTCCTATAATACTAAAATTTACCTCTGAAACTTGTATTTTTTCAGGAGCGAACAGTAATGCGAACGAAACACATTATCACATCAATTTCCTCAGCCGTCACAATTCAGTCTAGAGTTAAACGATTAGAAGATCTAATCGACCACCTTAGGGAATATCCTGATGCACAAATTGTAGCTGCTGAGGTAAGAGACTCATCTATTATAAGTAAGGTCTTAGATTTTAATTCAAGTAGGGTAGAATTATTAGGGGTGCAAAAACTTTCTGATGACGCGGTCATGATGTGCGGTCGCTTGCATGGAAAAATGAGAAGGCTGTGCAAATTGGAAACGCCAGCTTGTGCTAGTAGTATAACTGCGTTTTTTTTTTTCAGAAATTATTTATGATAGGATTGAACTAATAATGATTAATTTTCTTTTTGCAGTCTGGCGCCATCAGTTTACTGCTTCAGCTGCAAAGGCGGATGAAAGATGATGTTTCACAAGCAATTCTCAGGGAAAGTTTAGCTCTCGTCGGTTATTCACCTCCTCTCCCGAAAAAAGGAATTCGGATTTTGTGTATTGACGGAGGAGGCATAAGGTACTTTAAATTTTGCAATTTTATTGTATTTGTTTGTATGGTTTTTTTGCGTCATATTGTATGTACTTTTAAAAGTACATTGTAAGTTTAAAAATGTTCATGCATTCTTTACTGCGCAGAATAGAAGCCAAATCAACTTTTTGACCATGATTTTTTCCTGAATTTTCTTCACAATTCCCTCGTTTCCCTGTATCAATTCTAAGCCACGACGTTAATTTCCTTTCCTGCCCATGCATGAAGTTTTCTTGAAAATTTTAAGGTGTTGCCACGGTTAACGAGGATACATTTTTTCGGAATCTAGCTATGAATCCCCTCTCACCTAATACCAGTAAGATTAGGTATAACCTAAAATTACTTTGCTCACATTTTTCGTATACAGACAGCGTTCAATATGCCTAATAAGAGTCCACAAAAGTTTCATTACCTTTAAGAAAGGAAGACTTCTTACTCTATAGACTTGTTCAAGTAATCAACCGGAAAAGTATGAAAAATCTCCGGCTCTGAAGCATTATATCAGTTGGTTTAACTTCTTTTCCTCGAATGCATAGCTACCTTTCATTATTCTATCTAATGTCCTCCTTTTTTTCTAATGTTTCAGAGGTTTAGTTGTCATTGAAATTTTGAAAGAATTAGAAAGGCTGAGTGGACAAAAGGTTCATAAACTATTTGATTACATTTGTGGAGTAAGCACCGGTGCAATTATCCTATCACTGATGGGTATGTACAATCTTTACTTTGAAATAATCACTCTGTCTTTTTTAATGCACATTTACTTTCAGGTTTCAGTGCTGGTTAGGCAGGGAAGGGACTCAAAGAAAAACCCAGTCCCAAAAGTACATGTGAAGGTCTCTTTTATGAATATCAAACTCGCGCAAAGTAAATACAATTGACAGGGTGAAAATTCCTTGAAAAGTCATCAAAAATCTGAATTGCCCAATTTTGCCCAACCTTGAAGAGTCATGTATAAAGCAAGACATTCATCTGTAGAACCTTGATGTTTCCTTCAAGTTCTCGAATTTTGAATGATTTTAATTTTCAAGGGACTTAGTTCCAAACATTTTTTGTACAAGTAATTTTCATGAGGATTTAAAAAAAAAGTCACAGAATTTTATGTTCAAAACCCCTGAAAAGTCAGGGAATTTTGAAATTCAAGTAGGTAAAACTTGTTACCCTGATCAAAGAATTTTCAAAAAATCACAATTCTTTCAGGTAAAAAAAAAAAAAAATTACCTGCAGAATTTTATAGCCCTTGCAAAAACATCCCATTGCTGCCTGTGTACGTAGATATCATGTGATTTGTGGTCATTAAGCAACATTTGACAAAAATCAATTCCATGAATGGGCTGTAATTTAACCATTAACGATTAAAAAGATTAATTTTTGTTGGTGTCTTCTTTTAATTCTAAGCAGTGTACCTCAAATTTTTGTTATAATGCCAGTTTTTTTTCAATTCTCTGAATTATTTTGTACCTTATTTTTCTACAGGCCCTCCCACAGGAAAGAGCCTGTCAGAAATATCTGATCTCTATAAGGAAATGAGTATCCAGCTATTCAAACAAAATTCTCTTCGGGGTATGAGTAACTTGGTCATGACTCACGGCTACTACGATTCTACTTTCTTTGAAAAATTGTTGAAAGATTATGCTGGTGAATTCATGCTTACTCAAACTAATAGAGATCCCAATTGCCCTAAAGTAAGTTTCATTTTTATTACTCTATTGCGTTCAATACAGTCAATTATAACTAAAAGTTAAGGGCTGTAGAATGTTAATGTAAGAAAATGCTCAAGATTTTAACCTTAAAAATATCCATACCTTCAGGTGGACTTTCTATGATGTTTCTTCTATTGATGAAAAAATATATGGTTCAAAACTTCCATTGTTTGTGAGGATGAATAGCAAGATTCAATGCGAGGAAAATTTCAAACTGTTTTTAGTGAAAACAAATTTTAGGCTACTTATTAAGCTAATATTTTTCGCAGAAAGCTCCCAACAATCCTTGTGAATCAACATAAAGTAATCTTTAAAGTGGAAGTGTTTTGTACATCCCAAAAAGACCAGAACCATTTCATTGTTCAGAAGTATTGAAAAATCCAAAAATGTCCAGAAATCAAGAATGATCAGTCTCTTTTGGTGCAGTGATTGTAGCACTGGCTCTATGATTAGAAGGTCCTGGGTTCAATCCCTGGCGGGGCAACCTGAGTTTGATGGTCCCAAATTAAGGTTGCCTGGGGATGGTTTTTGATCACAGACTGAGGGGGATATGGCTCCAATTTTAAGTGGATGATTATTCCCTTGGGGATATTTGAAGTAGGGGAAATAATAATCTTAGCCCCATACTTATTCCTCAATATCTAATGCTTAAAATTTTTTCCCCCACAGTTGGCTTCCATTTCCGCTGTTGTCAACAAAAAACAGTTAGTTCCTCATATTTTCCGCAACTACTCATTACCCCACTCGAAGAAATCCAAATACATCGGAGGTAACAACTATCGCATTTGGGAAGCTGTGCGAGCCTCTGGCGCAGCTCCAACTGTCTTTGCAGAGTTTCCACTTGGAGAATTCTTGCACCAGGTAATAACACCACCTCGAAAATTTCAAACCTGTGCTTTAGTATTCATTCGTACACCATGAAAACCTTCGCTGTTCTTTTATTTGCTGATTCTGAAGATTATTTGTGATGAGTCCCTCTAGCTAAATAACGACCAGGGTTGATAGACGATTCTCATTCTCTGAAATAGAGCGGCTTAATTACTAGCACATATTTAGTCAAAGGAGAAATGAAAACTGTAATAAGGAGTGTCAAAGCCCTGGACATCTATAAAAAGATATATGGAATGGGACGTGAAATACATTAGTCTCATCTTATCCATGAAAGAGCAGAATTATGGTAGGTAATTAAGAGAATAAGCATCTTGACTTGATATGCTCATTATTATTTTTATCAAAGTACATATCTTGATCTCAAATATTCAGAACTTCCTCTCTCTTCATTTCTTTACAAGCATCTTCAAATGAGAATTCTCTTTCCTACTGTATTGATTGATTCTTTTTACTTTGAGGATTAATTTACTTTACAGGATGGCGGTATCATGGTGAATAATCCAACCGCTGTGGCAATTCATGAAGCAAGTTTGCTCTGGCCAGACAGTGAAATTCAATGTGTTGTGTCCTGCGGCACTGGTCGTCTGACTCCGATCAAAACCCTTTCAGATGAAGTTTCGGGACTTGCTTCATCGTCCTGGAGGCAGAAGTTTTACAGGATACTTGATAGCGCAACTGACACAGAAGGTAAGATAAGAGAAAACTTAATTTCTGTTTTATTACACAAAGTGCAGAAGTTCAGAAGGGTTAAAAATCACCCAAGTTAAATCAACTAAATCCAATTTGAACCTAGAAATGAAGAGAGAATGTTATGTTATGGATATGGTATCTTGTTGCCAACTTTTCAAGTTTAAAGGTGCCAATACACTATAAAGCAGAAAAATATCAAAACTTGTTTTCTCTTTAGCACCGACTTTTCCAAGCAAGAAATCTAACAATAAGCCATAATGCAATAATGCAAGCAATAATGCTAAGCAATAATGCTAAGCAATAATTGCTAAGCAATAATGAAGAAACACTAATCATCATTCACCTAAACCTAAACAATAATATCAAATAAAACCATCATAACTACCTTATTTGCGACATGAAAATACATTTTATTTTCATCATACTTCTAGCATACATGTTTGCAATATAATATGAGTAGGATTGCATTATGGCTAAGCAAGATCAAGACTCAGTAGTTTTTTTCATCTATATCGCTGTGTTCCTCACAATAGAACATAAAGACTGCATTTCAATGTTGCCAAATTTTCCCCGATAACCTGCATTTTTATTAGGAGAATCTTGAGCATTTCTAACTGAAAATTCTCCAGATTTTTCTTCTGATCTCATGCAAAAATAAAAAAAAAAGTCATAGACAAAAATTGCACAGGTACATTCTTACAATAAAATTGAATTGTTTGAGTCAATTTTGGAACCTTGGAATGGTTTCCTTCACCCAGGAAACATCGATGTATTAGATTAAGATGTTACAGACAATATTAACCTGATTTTCTAATTTTGTTTCAGCTGTGCATACTGCTCTTGAGGATACGCTTCCCAAGTCAGTTTATTTCCGATTCAACCCATTCTTGTCAGAACTCCTGGCTATGGATGAAATTCGTCCAGAAAAAATCAAGCAGTTGTTAGAAGAAACTGGAATGTATCTACAGCGAAATGAGGATAAGATGCGGTCAGCCTCAAAGGCACTGCTCGAAGAAAAAACCATGGTCCAAAATATTTTGAACTTCCTCAAAGTTCAAACCAAAACACTTGGCATACAGAAGTAAGCCCTCTACAAATTACCTTTTGAAATTTATCTTTTGGCTGTTTCAAGTTGATGATTTTTATTCAGACTTGCCCGATTGTCAAGTATACTGACAATCTGCAAGTTAACATAAATGATCTCTTCGTAATTTTATTTTTAGCTGTAGATCATAATATTTTGTAAATTTGTATTGAGCATAATTTTGAGTTATCTGTGTACCATTAGATTTTAACTTATGACCAGTAAATTCATCTCTTAGGGAATACCAAAAATTGACCGATAGGTATTCAATTTTGTAACTCTTCACCCCCAAAGACAACTTTTCCCTTTCAACAAATTGACAGTTGTTGTGATACCAAATTGTACTTCTTAGCTCCCTGGATAAATCCTCCTAAGAAAAAAAGCCCGGTCTGTTAGGTCTGTAAATCCTTTACACTTATCCTAAAAGCCAAAAGAATTATATTAATATGCAAAGTGTCAAGCATACTTTCATTTTTCAAGCGATACAAGTGTAAATGTTCTTATTTAGAGGGTACAGCAATTTTTCAGTAGCATTTCTATGTGCTGTAAGGTTTGATTCTTACCTCACCTGTTGTTTTTTCTCAAAGTTTTATCCAACTATTAGATCTGATTTGTTTCAAAAGCAGCTTTCCTGATGTAAGGTTTTACGCGTAAATCTCATTCTGCTCAATTTTTTAATGCTCTTTTGATTTTCTCATCAATTGTAGAGACATCGGTGTGATGATTTGATTTCAATGTATGTGTATGATATACGATTGTATCGAGCAAAATGAGATTTTGACTGATAATGAAGAGAACATTTATCCAATTTGTGTGATAAATATTGTTCTCATCCCACTGTGATAGCTTATAGAATGTGAGCATACCTTCCTATTAGACTATTTGAAGGTAACGACCACTAGCGAGTGAAATGTTTGATCCTGTTTTTTATCATGATTTTCTCAACCATCATTTCTTGATTTTTTTGCATAGTAACATTATAGGTACTGAATATTATGTAATAAATATGCTTTAATGTTACATTCGCCACAATGAGTTAAGAGCCAAATGAGATTACCCCTGCTCTCATTATGTAAAAGTTAATATAATTATAAATTGAACATAGATTTGAAGCTTAGTGCTTTCAGCAGTTGATTAATGTCCATGTTTTTAACCCTGAAAAGCTTTTGAAATTTCTAGGACTTGGAGCTCTCTTTATCAATCAGTTGTTTTGTTTGAGAAGTAGGTATTGTACTGCAATGCAACACACCGATAAATTCAAACTTGGAATGGCAAGCATCACTCAATTAGATCGTTTCGAATCCTAGTCAGTATTTTATGCAAAATTAAGATGTTAACTCTGTTACTTTTATAAATAAATCATTTTTCTTTTTGACCTAAAAGCTTTTTTCAATACTTCATTAACCCTTTTACTCACTCAGGAAACTGATATACTTAGATTTTGGAGCAATTTATCAGCATAAATCGGAAAGTAAAATTTCTGCAAACGATCAGTATTCTTTTGAAATATGTAAAAGGAAGATAAAAGTCTTAAAGTAGACTGCATTTTTAGGACAAAAGATTAAATCGCCATCGTCTAAATATAGCCTACAGCATGAAAGAACAGGGCGACTCGCAATTAAAAGGCAGAATAGTTTTCTTAAAAAATAAAAATTTACTGCGAAGTTTCAGAAAAAATATAAACCCGATTCAACAAGGAAAAAGAACCGCAACAAAAAAATTAAATTAAAGAAGAACATTAAAACAGTGGAAAATAGAATTTGTTGTAGAGCAAAATAAAATTATAAAATAATCCCTGAAAGGTAAATTAAATTCTTCGGAGGACTCATTTTTAAACGAGAATTTAAAAAAAAAAATAAAAAAATTAAGTCTTATGTATTCCTACCTATATCCAGAAAAAAGTGGAAAGAGGTGGATAATGAATAATATTAAAGAATAGAAGAAAGACAAATAGAACAGTAAAACAAATGGGAATAAAAAAATGGGAGGTTGAAATGAATCAGAAGAGATGCTTTCCTCAAATGAGCGATTTATAAATAAATTAGAGGCAAGCATGCGATCATTCTTAACATTGAAAGAGAAACACAGAATTTAAAAACAAGAATTGAATTAAAGAAGAAGAATCTAACAAGAGAACATAAGATTTTCCTGCGAGCCAAACGAAAGTATGAAGTAATCCCTAAAATGTAAATGAAACTTACTGGAGGATTCATTTTTAAATGTGGATTTATTTTTAAAAAAAATGAGACGACCGCATTCCAATCATCTAGGGAAACCATGAAAAGAGGTAGATAAAGAATAAAATTAAAGAATAAAAGAAAAGTAAAACAAATAGGAAACAAAAAAAATGATTAGTTGAAATTAACGTTAAAAAGATAGATGTCTCCTCAAATGAGCGATTTCTAGGAATTAGAGGCAAGCATGCTAGATCATTTTTAAATCCATGGAATTTGAAAAAAGTAACAAAATTAAACTCAACATTGAAAAAGAACAAATATGAAATCAAAGGTATAAAAGTAGTAAATGATTCAATAAATTCTAAAAACTATTTTAGCTCATTTGGCGAGAAATAAAAACTATACATAACATAAAAAGGGCTAGTAGTACTAAAGAACGAGTATTATGCGATGAAAAAAATTGATGATAACTTTTCAGTTCCAAGTTACCATTAGATAGGTATAACGACGAAATAAACTAGAATTTTAGGCACTATGATATTCAATAACGAATTCTCTTGAAAAGAATACTAGAACATACTCATCAAAAAAATCAAGACGTTCTCTTTAAATTAAAACCGCAACGGCAATAACAAAAACGGTCAAAATTCCTACGATTGTTTGCCATTTACTGGCACTTTCTTCATCTTCTTAGATGCATGATTCAAGATATGCTGGATGTAGCATTCAATATCTAATAGTGCTTCATGACACATAGTGCACTTATAATTGCTAAGCTCTATTTCCAAGTTCGTTGCGTGAGTCCATTTAATATGCTCTGACAGCAGGCAGCTCCGGTGATATGTCTTTCTACAAAGTGGACATGTAAATTCAACCTGAGTTCCGTGCACCTGTTTTTCATGTTTGGCCATAGAGTACTTATCACAGTAAGAATTCCCACATGTTTTGCACGAGAACGGTTTTTCACCTGAGTGCGTGCGCATATGAGTATCGTAACAAGTACGGTTTGACAGTAATTTGTTGCAAATCTCACATTTGTACCGTTTCCTTTTTCCAAGGTGTATCTTGTTCACATGGTCACGGTAGGAGAGTTCCTTGTCATAGGCTAGACCGCAGGTCTTGCAAACCCATTTCTTGCCATTTGTGTGTTCAGTAATTCTATGTTCTTTCAGTAGATCCAAGGATTCGAAACTACGATTGCATTGTCTGCACCTTTCAGTTTTTTCACGATGGGTGAACTCATGCCTAAAAAATGAGGGAAATAAGAAGTTAGAAAGTGAAATAAGGGAATCCTGCAGCCTGATTGCTGAAATTTTGTGTTTGTCGGGTAGACATAGATGATCATAGGTCAAAAGGTGGAGCGTGATTGGTCGGTTATGTCTTATTGCTGCTTTACCGTGCCTTTGTCAGGTGGAATGGACGACATACTGTCGGAAATTTAAGAGGTGCCTTTAGCTTGTCACGAGTTCTACCCGACATAGGCATGACAAAGCAGCGATAAGACATAGCCGACCAACCACGCTCCGCCTTTTAACCTATCATCTATGTCTACCCGACAATCAAAATTTCACTGATCAGGCTGCAGGTGTCGTAACTTTTAAAATCAATATACCTACATAAATAACTAGGAAAAGAATTGGTCAAATTCAAGTACCTGCAAACAATTTTTGAGTGACGTTCATAACAAGCGCGTGTTCTAGAAAAAGGGTTCTTACCCAAGAAGTAAGGAGCGCAATATAAATCGCAATTCAATATATAGATTATTTCAATTATTATTCTACCAGAAGCAATTCATTAGAACCAAAAGCTTACTTATTACAAATTTGCTACATAACTTGATCGGTGGTGAATTTCGTTGTTATGATTGGTAAAATCTCATAATGAAATGAAATCATAATTTTGTTGCAATTTTAAAGGTGGGAAAAATTTTATGAAATTAAATAGATTGCTCAACTGTTAATAACTTCAGCGATTTCACAATCATAAAGTAGAAATAAAATCAAAACTTTTCTGTTTAAGAAAACTACTTCTTGGGTTGTGCTAAAAATTCAAAATCAAGATTCTCATTAGTGGGATTCGCACAATGGAATATTTAATCAACGTTTCAGCTTGGAAATTATGCTTTCCGGCCAGAGTGGCTCCTGGGATTGTGGAGTGAAGTAAGGACACGTAGGGCTTTCAAGCATATGACAGCTGTTGTTTTAAATGCTAGCTATCCTTCTTTTTAAAAGAGGCTCCCTGCTAACAGTTTTACAATTCTGAGAAAAAACGAATTCTTGATGGTTTTTTTTTTTTTTTTCCCATTTTTACCTTTGAAGATGCTGTCTGGTCTGGAATCCTTTTAAGCAGATAAAACATTGATTTTTAAATTCATTTTTCCCAATTCTTGATGCTACTAATTTTATTGGTGACAAAGGATTTGCTTCATCAGCAGACTTCAATTTAGAGTCGCTGCGATTGGCTGTTTCAATGGGATGGGTCCTCAGATGCTTCAGGGATAGTTCGCGATTACTGAATATCGCATTGCATTTTAGGCATTTCAAGGTATGGGTGTTCAAATGCATCAAGAACAGATCAAGAGAGGAGAAAATTATTCCACAAATGAAACAGGGTGCACGGTCTCCATGTACTCGATTGTAGTGATCTTTGAAAGAGCCTTCATCAATATCATCGACGCATACGTAACAGAATGCAGGTTCCTTGGTGCTTGTCTTTCTCGCACGGCGAAGTCTGAAAATAAAGAGAAAAGATACTAATCAAAGGCATGGTACAGCTATGATTGGACAACAACGCTTTTGCTTTTCCAAGAGTCTGGATTGAAGCTGATATTTCATTCCTTCATGTAATAATGGGCATCCTCTCAGTTTAAATGCCTTTCTGAACATGTTACAAGGTTTTATAAAGCCTTGTAACATATATGTTCCTCTTTCGAAACTGAATACGAATTTCAGTAACATTTTATCAGAAGTGTCAGCCCAGTATAAATCAGAAAGTTTAGATGTAATTTACCGAAAAAATTGCACTTAACGAGATAATAATGGATTTTCAGTTGACTGGCTCTTATGCAGCGAAGCACTTGATTGGCCAGTTGATTCAACAGGCAAAAAGAGTCCCGACTTTGATCTTCCATTTTGACGAGAGAAGAAAGCACTTTACCATTGCACAGCAGCAACGATTTTTACTTTCTCGCTACCCTAGGGTAGAGGAAGTATAGTTCATTTAATGTTACTTGATTAGTGATGTTTGCAATTAAGCCTGGTTCCCAGATCTGAAAGTTCACAGATGAAATGATGCCCACTCCCTTTGTCTTATCATGCCGTCTTACGGTGCTACTACATTTTTCGACTGTTCTTTCAAAATTAATTCCTTTCGGTAAATTGTAATTTTCTCTTCTGCAAAATTGTTCATTTCGCCTGAACTTATTCTTGAAACGACTTCGGATTTGTCATTTGTTGGTCTGCAAAGGTATTAGGGGGTTTTTAGGGTTCATAATATAGGTGACGCTGAAAATCGGATTTCTTTTATCCCCTTCCCTTCCTCTTGTGTAACATATACAGGCATGCATTGTTCTAATCAAATTAGCTGCCTAATGCTTAGTTCAACCCCTCCCACCACAAGTTAGCATTTTGTGATGAATTTTAGATGAAAAATTACTACCTCACATTAATTTTTCATCTAATATTTATTGCGTCTGTTCTAACATTTTCGAACGCAGCCCTGGGGGACTCCCCCCCCCCCCCCCCTGTAACGTACTCGTAATGCAGGCTCAAGTCCCCCTCTTCTCCCCCTTGAGAATTACGTATTTGCGACTGGATCTGTGAAAGGATCTTTATCTTCTAGGAGAAAATTTTCCTTTGCTTTTAGCTAATTTCTAGAAAAACAGAATCTGGAAATTAAGGAGCAAGTTAAACATTAAAATCTTAAAAATTGAGGGAGATAATGGTTCGGAAATTCTAAGACCACCATTTCAAGGTGGTGGAAAAACATAGTTTAAGTAATCCCGAAAATTTCCTCCCAGAGGATAGGGTCCCTTATCATAGACCCAGTAACATTTTATGAATGGCCCTTTATGTATAGCTTCAAATCGGTTTGAAGATTGAGATCAAGGTAAAAATGATTCATTAGATCATGGTTGAACAATATATATTTTCTACATGGTAAAACTTTTCAACAAATGAGCTAATTTAACTGGTATTGTAGTAAAGAAGTTGGAATTGACAAAAAGTATGCTTCAAGTAATTTTAAAGAGAAGGTTACACTTATGCTAACTCAGCTGACTGTAGAAAAACCTCTCAGAAAATAGAATCGTTGATGGCACACAATACAATCAGATGCTAGACTACATGCATCAAAGAGAGGAGCTCATACGCTTTTGAAAGATGAGGTAGATACAAATGATACAATTTGGTGGAATAAAAATGAGAGATCCAGTTAAAACTTCAGTCAAATATCATCTTAAACTAAATGGCTTTGTCATAAAATTTCAAAAACACAAAAAAATAATGAACGAACAAAACAGAAGGGAAAGAAAAAACAACAATTATTTTTCAAATCACTTCCAAAAATATACGGATTTTTTTTTAAAGAAGAGAAACAAAATTTATACTATCGTACGTAGTTGACTTACGATTTCTTTGCCCTCAAAGAACTTAGAAAATAAATTTGAACGATAAATTCATTTGTAATGACTGTTACAATGACAAGCTTTACAACATGCTTGGAGACAAATTAGGAGTTGCTATGTTCTACTAGTTTCGCTTTTTCAGTAAATTGGCTCTCAATATTACTCGCTTTTCGAACATTCCATTCGACAGCCGATTAACATGTGGAGAATTGGTCAGCGTTGTGAATGGAAATAGCTGTTCTACAGGTGCAGATGAGGCTAAAGGAGTATTAAATTTTACAAAGACTTTCCTAACGTTTTCGTATCTATTTAACATGGTAATATCTTCATCAGTGTCATTGAAAAATAGAGCAATTTCATCATCCGCTTTGGAATAAATTGATAGTTTTGAGGATGCTGATGACCCAAAGTCAAAAAAGTCATCCTTGGACCACACGTCATCCTTAGAGTCCACACTGTAAATCGGATTAACATTCATGTATTCCAATACATTTTTCCTTAAGAGAGATGTAAGTCTCTCATAATATTTCTCATCAACATATACAAACCATTTTCTCTTAAATCTAGGATAGCTCATTGTGGCTATAGCAGCACGTTCAGCTTCTGCTGATGAGAAATTAATGAATTTGGAGAATCTGGTGGTGACACTATTCAAATAAGACTTGGCGAGAGGCTCGCAAAAAATCAATGATTTTGATGCTATTTCATGTAATTTGCGTTGCAATGAAAGTATGGTCGGGAACAGTACTCCATAGTAATACTCATTTTCGGATTGGATAATCTCCACCGCAACAGTGAGTGGTTTAGTGCAAGTTAAAAATTCCGATATGTACTTGAAGTCAGATTCACAGAAAGATTTTTTGATGGAAAGCTCTCGGATTAGTTCTTCTATTTTGTTTCGTGAACCGTAAATTGCCTTTAGTGCATCATATAAAGAGTTCCATCTCCTTTCATCTGGCCGAGGAAGTGCAAAACCTGTGGACAAAATTTTTAATTAAGTGTCTATAAATATCAATGCTTTAATAATTAAGAAATAAACTCAAACATGAGAACTTTTCTGACCAAACAGGATATGGCAAACAAAGCAGATTTGAGAAAACACATTTAAAAATAGATGTTGGTTAAAAATTCAATTTTCAGCCCTACTACTCTCAAGAGTGACAGAAAACTCGATTGTAAAAATTCATTGTGTTTAGGAGGCCACAAGAATCTTCCATTTGAATAATCTCGAAATTTACTTCTACCGTATTTCTTCATACTCATAGTGTAGTCCTTTATATCTATACTANCAAACAGGATATGGCAAACAAAGCAGATTTGAGAAATCGCATTTAAAAATGGATGTTGGTTAAAAATTCACTTTTCAGCCCTACTTCTCTCAAGAGCGACAGAAAACTCGATTGTAAAAATTCATTGTGTTTAGGAGGCCACAAGAATCTTCCATTTGAATAATCTCGAAATTTACTTCTACCGTATTTCTTCATACTCATAGTGTAGTCCTTTATATTTATAAATATTTAGGATTAATTTTACTTAGTTTGTTCAATGATACACTAATAAACACTCATCTCTTGAATTAGTATACCATTCATTTCAATGCTTTCATCATGCAAATATTTTCTTCAAAACAGATTCAAACAGTTCTAGGAAATCTTAAAATATCTTCTAGGGGCTGTTCATAAAGTACATTACACTAAATTTCAGATTTTTTAACCCCCCCTTGTAACGTTTTTGGGACTTAGGTTGCTATCATTCATAACGTAAAAACATGATGGCGTAACACCCTCCTCCACCCCCTGCCCCTCTCGTCGTAACATTGCATATTTTATGGGCAGCCCCTTGTAGACAATATTTAATGAACATGTAACCTGAAAAGGAAAATTATCAGTGAACTCACCTAATATGTTTTGAAAAGTTTTTTCATTTTTCACTTTGCCTGCAGCTTGCCAAAGTGTATTGCATTTATTCATGACCCTATCATGAACTTGTTTCAGAATTGGATATTGTTGCAAACATGTAACAAAATCAATAGATGCACATAGGATGAGTGTTTGAGCAGCGCAACTTGACCGGTTTGGGAGGAACAACTGCCCTTTCTTGATGATCTCATTTATATCAACAAACTGGAGCTCTTCTAGGTGAGCTTCGTCAGATTCTGTGTCTCCATCATCCCTTCCTTCAAATTTTATACTCCCTGGATCAACTCCCAATTTCTGAAATGCTTCCGCATAGTTGAAGCCGCTATTGGTCATAGAAGCAACAATTTGGCTGTTGGTTAACCCGTAGAGTCCTTGTGTTTCAGCGAGCCATTCCGAAAGCCTGAAAAACAGCAATGGTAGCACATGTTAAAAAAAAATTAAAAATGTCACTATGGAAGTAGTATTATGCAAATTAGGTCTCGAACAGGGAGGGGGAAGGGGGGAGGTGCGGTACAGCAAGAAGTGCAAGATAATGGGAGGGAGGCTCAGCCTTGCATGACAAAAAGCAAAAGTCTGTGCAAGATGCTGATTTGTAGAACTTTTTCAATACTTTGATAAAGATACTGACAAAAAGTGCACATTTTTTACGTTAAAGGGAAGTTATTGAGCAAAAAGTAATTTATTTAAGGGAATTCAGACCTACAAAACAGCAGGTAAAGGGCAAAAAGTTGGGGAGGGGGGGGCGGATCTAAAATTTTGACTGGGAATTAGGCATGATTTACAGACACTAAAAAAAGCACTGCTACACCAAAATAGCTGATTCTCCCGCACCTCCAGATATCTGTTGAGATGCATACATGTAGAGTTTTTTCAAGCTCCTCCTTAATAAATCTCAGGTTTTAGAGTCACTATAGAGGACTGATGATAAGTGTAAAAGAAAAATGGAGTGTGGATAGATAGTAAGAGAAAACCAGAACAACACAAACTTTTTCAGTTGTTACAGAAATTTGTTGATTATTCATCTAATACAAGCTCAAGGCTTACTTTCGAAAACTTCAAAGGGCTGGAAATGACTGTCTGCCTAATAAGTAACTCTGTATAAAATTGAATGCTGATTTCTTTCATTCTCCTCTTTGAAAATTCAACTGTGTTTTCCTTGCTATTCTATTTTTCAAAAACACGACTATTCCTAGTTTCTACCTTGTCTAAAAAGAACAAATGTAAAAATTAAAATGCGAACTTACTTGTCGTATGAGTGTTTTCCTGTGAATTTTTCACAAGCAATAACCGCTGATTCTCTTTGCATCTGTTCATTCAAAAAGTGCACTGCTACACCAAAATAGCTGGTTCTTCCGCACCTCCAGATATCTGTTGAAATGCATACATGTTGAGTTTTTTCAAGCTCTTCCTTGATAAATCTCAGGTTTCTCTTGTAGAAACTGACTATACGCCGCTCTAGGGCTTGCTTGCTGGGCACAGACAGTCCTCTCTCAGAGACATTTAAAAACTTGAAAATGGTATTGAAAAACGGATTTTCTACAATTTCAAGGGGCACTAAGGAATGTAAGATGAACTGGGCAATGTGCGTATCGAAGGCCTCTTGCAACTGTTTCTTTTGACCCTCAGAATCACTAGTTTCCTTCGAGAGATGTTTTGAAATGTAGCGATCATATTGGCCCAAGACGTACTTTCCATGAGACAATAGTAAATGAGCTCGAAAACGTTCTGTTGATTCCGGAGAGCCGTTCACTCGGACATAGGTGGGTTGACACATGACACAAAGAGCGACGATGGATGTATCTGTACACTCGTTGGCAACAAGTTTGAAAAAGGATCCATCGGTGGTGAGTGTAACAGCCTCAGCTGAATTCTTAACATCTTCTACCTCTTCTTCACTTTCATCACCCGTTTCATCTGACGGCCAACTTGCTTCACTTGATGAGGTCTTATTTCCTTCCTTCTTATCTTCTACTTCTGGATCTGCAGAATAATTTTTTGTTGTAGGGTATATTCCGGTGTCACTCGTGTCATTGGAGAACTCAACTCTTTTAGAAAAAGAGAAAACAAAATAATCACATTAATCTTCACGATGAAAACTAGAAAAAAAACATTAGGAACCCGCAAGATACTTTTAGAATGTTTTAAACTGAAATTTTTTTCAAATACACCGATCATGGAACTTGGCTTTACTGCCTGTCACAGAACTGCAGACAGTTCACATTAAAACGATGGTTAGGTGAATGGTTGCTGAGTGCTTACATGTTTCGTAAGCAATAGGTGTGCATTTTATTTTTTTACTTACCAAAACAGAAATTCGAAAATATTACAGAGATTTTTTTCCTAACTGAGATTTTTAATTGTAATTAAAAACGGCACAAGTTTTTAAAATCTACACAACTGATCCTTTTCCTTGACAATGGCATCGATGAAGTAAGTGCACGAGACTCTACATTATTTGGATACGGTGTCTACCGAACTCTGAATTATTGTGAATGATTCAACAAGTGCGCATAGCCTAAATGCAGACCCAAAGAGTACAGATTTTAAGTTATTAGTGTTGCATTTTAGTATCAATGTTTAAATAATGGCGATGGAAAGGGACAAAGCAGAACCATCTGATCAGTTTTATCTGTATAATCGTATAACACAGTATATGGTCTATTTATATCGTGCATGGATATTTGATGGCTGCGATAAAAAAATACTTGTCTCAGATTGCAACATTCTGCATTGCATTTAGCAATCAATTGCAGTGCTTACTTATAAGACCTCAATTTATCAGATCGCGATTTAACAGACTGATCCTCCGGTCTCTTCAAGGACTTCAAGCTGATAAGTTCATTCAGATCAAAAGATTTTGCGATTTAACAGATCGATTCATCAGTCCCATGAAATCCGATAAACTGAGGTCTTCCTGAATTTGAAACTGAGTGCTGATTTACCTACTCGTGGATTTTTTTCACGATCCAGATAGGTCTGGTCCCAATTTACATGATTGAGAATTTTTGTGTTAACCCATTCGCCTCATTTGGCAAGTATACTCGTCAGCGCGCGCACGCGGGACATATCTCAGTTGACGAGTTAATTCGCGGCATCTATCGGCATTGCTATGCGATTTTTTTGCCAGTGGTTTTTCAATTTTCCGATAGATGGCATCTCAAGCGCCGGAATGTCGAAAATGGCGCGAATTAACTCGTCAGCTGAGATGATGTCCTAGACGCCCGCTGATGAGTAAACTCGTCATGTGAGGCGAATGGGTTAATTCTTTGGAAAAAATTAATTAGGTACCTACTCCCACTTGAGTGACTTTTGGCCACAATTTGCAGTCAGTTTTTTCTCCACAAGTTCAAAAACATTTTATGCAATTCTATAATTTGCAGAATACTTCGTCGTGGCTAAGTACATACTCTCAGCTTCTTCCAAGTTTTGCAGATTTTCTGAACCAGTAACTGCCAAAAATGACATGAAGTTTTTGCAAAAACGTTGCTCTAACATTAAATGCAGTAGAACTTAACGTCCTGATGTTTTCGCAACCACTTTCTCAGCAGGGATAGTCTTGCAAAATCATTGCTACTTCTTATTACTATTTTAGTGCTGTTAATACAAAAAAAGAAACAACGAATCAACTCTCACCGTGAAGGGCCTGCTCCAAAAGTTTCAGACTCAAATTTTGGTAGCTTATGAGGTGAAAAAGTTGTGGCTTCTGCGGTTCGCTTATGTGTCTCTCCTGGTTCAACTCTAAAGTACGGCGAAGAAGCATCAGCAGCAGTGTTGTTCTCATTTACTGGATCATGAGAATATTCTTCATTTTGGAAGACAATTTCTTCAGGGGATGATGGTTCATCTTTAATGGTGACGATTAAAGGCTCTACAGGATCCATAGTATTCGGTGCCAAAGTTTCAGACTTCCTTATTCAGACTTAATTATTAGTCACTGCCCTAAAACATACAAGGAAAAACTCAGTTAGTAATCCAATGGAAGCTAGAAGTGACTAGCAATTCTAATAGGTACCTACTTTGCTTTGGTTGGATTCACTCAAACTCCATGGTCTTCCTCTAGAAACGTTTTTGATTGACATCCATAGCTACATTGACGGAACTACTCAAAATTAGAGGAAATAAAGCCAATAAGACTGACCTGCTATGGCGGACCGATGGTTATAATGATAGGGGCTTAAAAATATTAGCAATTTCATGCTTCCGTGACTCATTAATTAGCAAGAAAATCTGGAAGATTAAGAGTTATCCTAAAATGAATGCGAGTAAGGATAAGTTCATCCAACTTTAGGCCCTGTCCACACGAGCGCGGTTCGCGGAACTCAGTTCGAGGAACTTGTTCCCGGAACAAGTTTTTAGCTGAGCTAAAACTTTTTCCTCCAAAACCCAGAACTTCCCACGTACTCTGAGCTTCTACAAATGTTTCTATGGATGTGAATTTGCTTGTTTTTGTTTTTTACATCCTTTATATATCTTGACATTTATTTTTGTTACTTTGGCGGTCGTAATAATCTATTAATTTGCAATGATTGTATAGTTTTATTAAAGTTCCGGTTCTAGTTCGGGCGAACTCGTGTGGACAGCATGCCTCGTTTCAAGGAATAGGTTTTGGAAACTGAGCAGTTCGGGGAATAAGTTCCGCGAACTGCACTCGTGTGGACTAGAGTCCCTTTATGCTGAGAGTCAAGACAATTCGGCTCATGGATGTCACAAACGGGAATAAAGATTACAGAAATTGAACGTTTTTCGTAATCTTTGATCGGCCCATTCTCAAATGCCTTTCTCCGTTCCTCTTTTCATTCCGTTTGTTCCTTGCCGAACCCGTAATTCCCTAGTCCATTCCAGACTATAATCTTTGCAATTGGTGAAAATGTAATCTTTATTCCCGTTTGTGACACTGTGGAGGCCTAAAATACGGGAACCAATCAGAAATGGATTCAAAGTGTCTTGACTCTCAGTATAAAGGGACTCTAGCAAGGCGGATAAAGAATGGTGGTCGCATTTCGATTTTGGCTGCCATCTTGAAGCGTTGTGACGTCAGGAGGGTACGGGTTATGCCGTGCAATCCGAGGTTGAGTCGGCCCCCCCGGCCTCGGCCAGCCCATGTACCCGATGTACCCGATACCGTGTGACGTCCAGAGGGTACGAAATGCGACCACCATTCTTTATCCGCCTTGGGACTCTAGGGCCTTACATTCGAACAAAATTCAACATATGACGAGTCATTCAAAACAACCGTTTTCTAGGACGGGTAGGTTGTCAGGGAGAACGTTGAGTGAATTAATCTCTTTGCGATAAAGGTGGTGGTGTTGTCACCCACTAGCTCTAGGTCTGTGCGAGTGATATTGCAGCACTCCGCAATTATGACTTTTGACAATCTCCATGCTTAAAACCTAAGTTTCAGTGGCCATGTTCAACATGAGAGCTAAAAGTGCGATGTGAATGAGATTGGGTGTGAGCTAAATTTAAGCTTCACTTTATGTAATTTGAGGTAAGATAATACCTGTCACAGGAGACTTATGTACATACTTACCACAGCATACGATTATGCTTGACAATAGTCTTCTGCAGCTCCTCTTACAGTTGAACTACCAGATACACTTTGATCAAGGTGCAAAACAAATTACATAAAAGTAAATATGATAAATTCTTCTTATAAACCATGCTCTCTTAATTGTACTGACTTTGAGCTGCACTTACAATTAAATAAGGGAAAAGTGAGAAATAAAGATACATAATGCCGGAAAAGCGTTCGGCCACATTTTTCACTAACACATTGAACTTGAATATTGAACTTGAACACACACATACACAAACCAACAAGAAACAGCCTGTTTGTGTTTACAAATGACCCATTCCGACGTTCCGCGTTTGATTCAGCTTTAAGCTTTTGGAAGAGGAACATCTCAAATTCCGTGTTTGTACAAGGAATTTGGACAAAATTATTTGACAAGTTGTCAAAAGTTTCAAAATGTAGATGAAAGTTTTACGTTCTTTCTTAACTTTGCAATTAAGTTTGAGTGTCAATGCTGACGAATTATTACTTTTTTTTGTTGAAAGTGGATCCTTAGCTCTATGGGTAACTCCGACACCAAACTGAACTTCCGGAAAGCTGTCATTCAGCTGACTTCCAAAACTCAGGTACATAGTCACTTCTTATGAATTACATTCTCTCCCACTAAAACTTAACATATGTATTGAAAAAAATCATATATATTGACGTTTTACTTTAAAAAGAGAATTCCAGCCCAAGTCTTCAACCCTCTTCGTCGTAAAATTGTAGTTATTAGATTGAGATAGGTCCTAGCTCTTGTATACTTCACCACCGATTCAAATTTTTTCGTTGTCGCTGAACAGCTGTGCTTATCTGAAGAAACTTTTTGATCCTCTTGAATTCAAGTCTCATTATGACCGTTTAGCATGTAAAATTAAAGTGCTGAGTAACAGCCGTTTGATTTTTTATGGGTGAATGATGGCAAAACTTAGGAAGAATCATGATGTAAACTCAATAAATAGTCACATAAGAAACAAAAAGGGAAGAGGGTACTACTTAAGTTGTAATTTAGAAAAGTATTAGTCACCTTACAAAAGATGAAGCATAGACTACTGTAGTTTTGCAATACCTTTAAACTACAATAATGAAAATAATCTTATAAATTCCTCTCAAAATCCAAAGAATTTTCATAAGGTAAGGTGGCAGTTGTTTACTTTCTATTCACAAGCGACTTGCCACTGCTATCCAATAGCCATTGAATATCGAAGGAGTGTGACGATAATGCCGTGCTACATTGTATTCACTTATTGAAAATCAACACCTCCCTCCAAGGCTATATGGCTAAATCTGCCTGTTGCCTGTGATAGTCAGAAGTAAATAATTGCCATCTTATCTGACATGAGTTCTTGCTGAAATTACGAGTTCATCTTAGATATGTTGCAAACATATTAAAAGAAGATGCATCATTGTAATAAACTGTCCAAAATTCCGGATGATGCCAAATTAAATAGTGGTGCTAGACTCAGTTTAGATTACTTGATAACTTGAGTATTAATGCATGCCCAACACTTTTACCAAAAGCTCAACGATCTTAAGAGATTGACAGAACCATTAACGTCCATTTAGTTAATTGAAGATCCAAACAGAATTGCATTTTTTATACTTCAGCAACCCAGCTGTTAATCTTGGATTTGTAAAATCTTGATGGTTAACCCTCCCTCATACTTGTTCTACTTCAAAGTAGGTACTGTTCAGATTAAGGAATTTTCAGGTCTGTGTATCTATCAGAAAAGATGGAAGTTTCTGTCTTTGCTCCAGTGCCCTCGAGCACAAGCTGTTTTATTTGAGCCTAGCAGCTAGTTTGGTAAAACTCAGGAACAAAGTCTAATTAGTATTCCTTTTCAATTTTGTTTGTTTGTTTTTTTTGTACTTTTGTCTCTTTTTAATGCTTACTAATTTAATTGATGTAGCCTATAGATGCAGCAGACAACAATTTCTGGGACCAATTTTGGTCAGAAAATGTGACAAATATCCAAGATGTTTTCACGCTAGTACCAGCGGGTGAAATCAGAGCACTGCGCGAAGAGGCGCCTTCAAATCTAGCAACTTTGTGTTACAAAGCTGTTGAAAAACTTGTCAAAGCAGTGGATAATAGTTGCCGCACCCAGCATGAACAGCAGACAGGTTAGTTTTTGAAGCTTTCTAGCACCCTCCACAAATTCAAGTCTGAGACATTAAGTGTATTGAACGATAATTTCTTTTTGGGCTCTTAGCAACCAAGATAACAGGGAATTTCAGAACATGATTTCTTTACAAAATTCCTTTACATGTTGGAAATTCTGTTGATGTCAAGCAAAAATATTAAGTTTTGGCTAAATTTAGTGATTTTACCATTAAATCCAATTTTTTTACTTTTACTTAAATGTGTCATCTCAGAAAAAGTTTTGGAAGAATTCTGGAAGAACATGGGAAAAATTAAAAATTTAGACAGTTCTATGAACTGTTCATTACATCACTCTGAAATTAAATTGCACAGTTGTGATTTAACTCCAACAGCTACCGCCAAGCTTTGAGTCCTGCTAAATCAGCACATTAATTTTTTTTGGGTGAAAGGAGACGCAGGGGTGCATGAAATGAGAGCAATTAGACCAAAATATTGATTTTTATAATTAGCTCAATGCGAAGTCTTGATCTTTTTGTGAAATGAAGAATTTTTTAGATTGAGATTGCAACTATTTTTTTCTCTGAAGAATTTTCTGCACCCCGGAAGGGACTCTACTATTTTATTTATAACAAAACCTAGCAGTGAAGGACACAAAACAGAAATGCTTGAAAAGGTAAATTCAACTGGAGTCTCAGTGGTGTAAAGTCAACAGTTCGAGAAATCTTGTTTTCAGAAAAAGCTGTTCGAAATTCTAATCTTCCATGAGCAAGAAAAAATTGACAGATTATGATACAACTAAATGCTTTCTTTCTGCATGAATATTAACATATTATTGGAATTGAATTTTGCAAAAAGGAACCAAGAGTATTTAAATGTAGCTTTAAAGGAATAGTAGCAAATAGAATCCGTACAATTAGATCGCATTTAGCAAAAAAGGAACCAGCGCGTTTACAATGTGTGTGTAATTTTCAGTTCTCAACTGTGCACGACTACTCACCAGAGTTTTGCCATACATCTTTGAAGACCCGGACTGGAAAGGATTTTTCTGGTCCAGTTTACCGGGCAAGGGAGAAAGTGGCGAAGAACAGTCGATGCCCCTAGCTCAGTCATTGCTGAATGCTGTCTGTGTGAGTTGAAGTATTATTACATTTAAATTGTTTTATTTATTTATATCAGTACCCCAGAGTCAAAAGGTACCTTACTCACATTTTTGGAAAAACCGAGTCAGTGGCGTTTTCGAAATCTCTATTAACGGTTCTGTGTGTGTGGAAAATTTGGTAGCCCTATCTAATACCGGTTACAAGATATGGAGTTTCAATAATTGTGAATTAAACTGGAATCAATTGGGCTGAAGCGCAGTTTTCCCCTGATATCTTGAAAAGACTAAAATGGAGTTAGGTACCTCTTGATTCTCGAGTACTGATATTTATATTCGATTCCTTATTCATTCTCTATCTATTCTTTTTATTTAGTAAAAGTATTGGCGTTTAAAATTTTTAAGAACTTACATTCATAAGTAAAGTAAAGAAGATAGAAACTGAAGCCTTGCCTTTGTAGATGTCTCACAAAATAATTAGCCATATGGAGTTACTCAAAACAATTTTGTTCAGCAACCTCAGGAAAAAAATCAAAAGGAAATGAAGATGCAAGACTTGAGACGCCAAAGAGTTAAGGCCAGGTAACAACTGCAGCTTTTTGCCGCAATTTTTTTGAGGAAGCCAGAAATAATTTTCAATTGAAATATAAACTTATGTGGCAATTAGTTGCCTAAGAAAGCCAGTAGAGAAAAAGCCGTAGATCAAGTTTAGTAGTCAGTCCTCTAGCAGAGTTTAGTGATGTAGTCCTCGCTGAATGGTGATACGCTTGGCTCATGTTGTCAGAAGTTTCCCTGGTATGTCTGCTCCACTGTACAATTCCCTAAATTTAATTAAATCTATCGCATGAGGATTAAGGAACTGTGGAAGCCGAGTGGTCCAATTAGGGGAAATTTTTGGAAAGTAGCAAAATTGCATATCAGATGAATTTGCTTCATTTGGGGAAATACAAATGGTCATCTTGTCACCAAACTGACCTGAGTCAACCTACCTTGGGCATAGATTAAGGGTCTTGTTAGTTGTGCAGTCCTCTCTGCTCTCTGAAGTTAATCGTGTCCTTTACTATATTTTAAGCTCAGAATCACCCTTGAGCGTTACTGTAAGCAATATTTCATGTCTTCCTTTTAACTAGAATATTCATATTCTATTTTACTTGTTGTTTCAGATTTTTCTTTTGTATCTATACATGTTTTTCAAACCAAGCTTATAACATTTTACAGCCATTTTCTTTAGAATGGACCCATTAATACTTTTTTTTCATGTTTCAGGACCTCTTATTTTGCCCAGATTTTACTGTTGCGGCCAACAAAAAATCCGGCCCGGTGAGTTTAGTTTCACATCTATGCAAGCGCTCTTAAGTACGTAGCTCTTAACAGCAAAGACGTATAATCTTTGTAATGGGCTGATCCCAGGAGAATTTGTTGTTGGTATAGTCTTGAAGCGAAACTTAGGAGGGTACATCAAAAACAAATTACATGCTAACAATGATAGAAACTAAACAGATATAAGAAGTCCATAATAATTTTACTTTGGAGAGGTCTTTGTACCTTTGAAGTGAAGGTATTCCGCATTATCACTGAGGGAGTGCAGCTTCTCAAAGTTTGCTCTATTATTCTCCCATTTCCATCGTTATTTCCATCCTGCTCTTCTGCTCCCTGAAACAGGATCAATTAGATAAAGAAAAGTTGAGCATTTGTTCCGTACCAGATCTCAGCACAATCCACAAATGCAGCAACTTAAATGAAGATTTTTTTCAACCCTAATTAGTTGAATATGTTTTTCCTCCCTCGAATAGTATGCACCAGTATTGGTGCCTTGATCCGATTTGATGTATTTCCCTTTTGCAAACATTTTGTGTGTTACAAGTCTGTTTAATAAGTTGATAATCTTTACGGCAACTTTTTTTTTGTTAATCGGGTCTCCAGGATCGGGCAGAGGATCTCCAAGCTATTGACAGTTGTGAATACATCTGGGAAAAAGGCGTTGGCTTTGCACAGAGCCCCCCACGAACGCCTTCCTTTGAAACTGCGAGGACGGAATTGCTGAAGCTTGTCTTAACCTGCTTTAGCGAAACCATGTATCATCCTCCTGCAGGTATGCACCAGAAAATTTTTAAACGATTTTGCAAGTTCCGTCTATGACATACCTGAAAGTTATTTTTGAAGGGTTGTTTGTGTGAAATTAGCATCTCATTAATTTCAAATGTTTATTTTCGTTCTCATTGAAAGGTGTGGATAATTGCATTTATTTCCCCTGATTGTGTGTAGAATGTTTTCATTTATAAAATAGTGTGCAGTATTTTTTCAATGGGGAAATGTTGTTTTTTTAAATAGTAGTTAACCACTAGAAAACAATTTCTACCTGCAATCAGGGCATGAAAGATGTAGGTCGGCTGAAAACGTAAGCCGGCATAATGTACATCAGCTTTTGATGAGACTTATTTACTCAAGTAAAATTTATTCAAAACTTCTATGTTATTTGTTTTCTCTTTGCAGATATTAGCACAGCACCGAATAAATGGGTACGATATCTGACTTCTCCAGATAACCGCCATGCACTTCCACTATTCACTTCTTTATTGAACGTTGTATGTGGTTATAACCCTGTTGGCCTAGGGTTACCATACAATCACTTACTCTTTTCCGACACAACTGAGCCCATGGTCGATACTGCGCTTCAGATTCTGATAGTTGCATTGGATCATGACACCGTCCAAAATGATGAAGTAAGTATTTTACTTTTTTTTATAGCAGTATCCATTTTCATTTTGGTGTGCAGAATTTTGTTTAGTTCCTGCGTGTAACAGCAAACTGAGTTAAAACTACCTTCAGTTGTCATAACTTGTCTCTATTTAATTTTGAAGCTCCTTGGTTGAAAAAAGCAAACAAACAAACAAACAAACAACTCTAATCAATCTGGGGCACAGTGTCATCAGTTGATATTGCAGTGCCCTAGAAAATAATAAGGGATCAACTGAAGTTTTTTTTAACTGAGAAACTTCAAAATATTATTTTTCAGTGTAAAAAATTACAAATTTTGCAATGCTGCATTGCCAAAGAAGCTTTGAACTCGGACTAAAATTGTTGCATCGTAAGGTTCAGGGTTGCAAAAGTCAGGGAATGCTGGAAAAACCAGAAAATGTCAGGGAAAAATTGTCAAATCCGTTTCATCATCTTACTAGAATGGCTTTAACTTTCCGAAAAACAAATTTTGCCTGAAAATTAGTTCAAATCATGTCTTTTTAAGGATCCGGCCTATCCTCAATTGTCAGAAAATTTTACAAAAATGTGACCCAGAAATCAGGGAAATGCCACAATATTTCATTTTCTAAATGCTGTGGCAACCCTAGAGGTGCTGTTTAGGCTTCACTTGAACAAAATCCCTGAAGTCTGTCATTGAGGGGCTCATTTTTGACAATTTCTTTCTTTTTTAACATGGCAAACTCACCATCATACAAATAGTTGGGAATCTGAAATAATGTCAAACATTTACCATTAATGCAATCTCTTTTAACTTTTCAGAATGCAACTCAGGATAATCTTTTCATAAACTACTTATCTAGGATACATAGAGATGAAGATTTTAGTTTCATTCTGAAAGGACTAACAAGGCTGCTAAACAATCCTTTAGTCCAGACATACCTTCCAAATTCTACCAAAAAAGTGCAATTTCATCAGGAGCTCTTAGTTTTCTTCTGGAAACTTTGTGATTATAATAAGGTAAGCCAAAATATTTCATGGCATTTTAAGACGCAATTTTTGTTATATTGTGAAAGTTTATCTGATAACTTTAATATAAAATAAAAAGATCGTAGAAACTAAAGAAGTTTGTAAACAACAATTTACCTTTAAGTGGGATCACAATGACACATAATTCATTTTTAAGCTTCCCTTCAGTTATAAGTAAAAATAACAGTTCTCAAATTAACTGTATTGAGAGTGAGGAAAAGCAGGCCCAAAAAAGGGGGAAAAAGGGGAAAAAAATCCGTGATATTACATTTTTCGTTTGTTTTTGTTTATCACATAATGGTTTTTATTTTCTGTTCCAGAAATTTTTATACTTTGTTCTCAAGAGCAGTGATATGTTAGATGTTTTAGTACCAATTTTATTTCATTTGAACGATTCTCGAGCTGATCAGTGTAAGTTGGATGTTTTTGTTTTTTGTTCATTGTTTTTCGATAGTCGTAGAAAGTAAGAATGTTCTTTCTAACACTCTGTCAAAATACCTTTCCGCTACTTTTTTGAAACTTATTACACAATAGGCATATTTTTGTCATTTTTCATGTGAGCCAACTCTTTTGATCATGAAATTTACCCATCATATGCAGAGAATATTTGCATTAATAAGTGACAATCAGTACTGTACGACGTTTAATTAGTTTTTCAAGTATCGAACAGTTTTTTTTTTTTTTCAGTCATGCAATCAATTTCATCGTTCAACCAGTCAATGCAAATTTGGCTCATCCATAAGATAAAAACTCTTAGCTTTTTAGTTGTTAAATGCTAGTATTGTACGTGAAATGGAATATGGGTACTATTATAATTGCTTCATCCTTAATATTAAATTAGGTACACTCAAAAAGACATTATTTGATGGAAAAAACAAAAATGAACTTTCAATTTCAATGGAGCATGCTGCGGGTATTTGATCCAACAAAGAATCTATTGAGTGGTAATGATGGATAAGCGAGCGAGAATGGAAAGTTCAAACCAGCATAGAAATTGACCAAATCCTAAAACATCAAGGCATTTTCAGACTTATTAAAGCCCAAACCTACTCTGTAGTCTTCTAGATAAAATCGAATGTATGTTTTATTTTTTAGCACGAGTGGGTCTGATGCACATAGGTGTTTTCATTCTTCTTCTTCTGAGTGGTGAAAGGAATTTTGGTGTCCGACTCAACAAACCGTACACTGCAACCATTCCAATGGACATTCCTGTTTTTACTGGTAAGATTGTATCCCTCAAAGCTTGAACATTGCTTTTCTTTTGAAATCGCTTTCCCTGTATTATGTTGTTTTTTATCGTATTGATTCTCAACTACTGAAATGAAAAGTAATTGTCGAATCCAGGAAGAGACATTAGTAGCCAATGCAACATTATGCTCATTTTTATAACTGAAGCAAGATGATTTCACCTTGAAAGAGACTCTTAGGCGTTTAATTTCGACATCATACTGTTGAATTTTTTTGTTTTGTAGTGGTTCAATTTTAAAATCTCTCTGTAATTTTTATTTTATTTTACAGAAGCATAGTTAGATAAGAAAAAAAACTTGTTTCCATATTATTTCCCTTGAATTCAGAATAACTTTTTTGGAGAGCAGGGTTTCTCTTGTGTAAAGGTGCGTATTCACTGCCGAGCGCGGCCGCACCGAACAGCACAGCGAATAACCCGTGCAACAAATGCGCGGGAATGTGGACGGTGCGATGCATCGAATGAGCATCCGCGAACGGCGCTCATGCGGTGCTCAGGCTCCTCGTCGGTTTTTCAACGCACATCAAAGGAAATTCGCGCCGAGGCATTCGCCAGTGTGGACGGTCGCGCCTACTCTGCGCTGTTCTTGACGCACGTGTGCTCTCTTATTTCATGTTTTGTGGTGATTTGTGTTATTATTATTAGAAAATGGCAGAGAACTGGAGTAATGAGGATGCTCTGATCCTAATCGGTCATTATGAAAAGCATCCTGTGCTATGGAATCCCAAGGATACATACTATTACAATAAAATACGTAAACTCGACGCTTGGACCGCAATTTCAAAAGCGATGAACAAGACCATCGACGATGTCAAAAGGAAGATAGAAAGTTTGAACGGATTTAAAATGTTTTCAAAATCTTCGGGTAACATGCGCTTAAAATTTTGAAAGTGGTCCATGTCCATTCTACATAGCAAAGCCGCACTCATATCTCGAGTCTGGAATAAAGCTCGCACCCACTTGGATTTCCTTTTCTTTTGTTTCCTCAGACGATGACGTAGTAGCACAACAGTAGCTGCCGCAACCAGCAAATCCATTAATATTGTAATTTTTCTCCAACAAATTAACAACAATCAGACAAAAAAATACAATGTGAAATTAAGTTTTAACTTGCGCGAGAGACTGACGCACAGGCGGAGCGAGAACGAACAACCTGCGCAGAGTATTCGGCGCGGGTTATTCGTTGGTTTCGTAAAATCACTACGCACAGCCCGCACCGCATGAGCATCCGCGCGTATGCTCGTTCGCTGTTCGGTGCGCCCGCGCTCGGCAGTGAATACGCACCTTAAAGGAAAATAATGATAGATTTGTGATCTTCAATATTGTTGAAATTCGTGGCTTGTACCAGAGACAAGAGACCCTCTAATGGTATCTTGGCAATGGTGGAAGCTTTTAAATTCGGGACTTCAACATTCAACTGTTGACCTAACTACTAGGTGGGTGGTTAGCAACATTTGGGATTTGGGGAGTTTTGTTTTGCAAACAAACAAAAGTTCAGGATACTTGTTGATTTATGACGTCACCCGAAACTCATTATCCACCCAGTAGGTAAGATGACTGTTGGCGTCTCATAATTCTCTGTAAAGAAGTATTGAAGTTTTGGAAGTAAAAGCTTCCACCTGTCGCTGAGGGGCCAGTGGAGTGTCTCTTGTCTCTGGCCTGTACTCACAAGAATATTTCACATATTTTTTTATTTGATTTTTTCCTCTTTTTTTTCTGTAGGTACGCATGCTGACCTTCTTATCACAGTGTTTCACAAAATTATTACCACTGGTCATCAAAGACTTCAACCCTTATTTGATTGTCTTCTAACCATTTTAGTCAATGGTAAGTATCTTCGTTTTTTCTCTTTAAAACTTGTACGCTCTAAAAAAAATCATTCAGCCATCATATTTGTAGTTTATGCGGATTGTATTAAAAGTTTGGATTCATGTACGTCTTGTAGCTATTCTTTGGAAACAAGGTCCTTGAATATTCCACATTTGACTAAATCGCACTAAATTGACACAATTACCTTGTATAGATTTTGGACTTGAGGTCATGCTCTGTTGTACTTTTGCAAATCAATATGTTAAATATTGCAGGAATATTGCAACCATCGCAAATGGATATTTCAACTATTGCAAGAGTGATATTGCTAATAAATCAGTCTATTTATACATATGAAACCTCAAATCACTTCCAAAGCCACTGAAAAGCAGATGTGGAGTTTGGTTTGAAATAGAGGCGCAACACACATCATTTGGACATTCCCAGCTCTGATTTAGAAATTGAAGCTGAATGTTGTGACTCCAATTGCAAAAATTCAACAGTGAAACTGCAATTATGCTTATCTTTTTTCTGGTGTTTCAAAATCCCCACTCTCATATTATTTTATTTATCTGAATATTGCTTGAAATTTTCACAGAACATTCTTTACAAATACAAGGAAAATTGGGGAAGTTTTTAAGCAAGCCTGTGAAGCATTTTCTCATTTAAAAAAAAATTGTGATCGGAAGTATGCAGCGTTGCAAATCGAGCTACCCTTTTTTGCAGTTTCACCGTCAAACTTTATTTGTTACGGTGATATTTGTACGCGTACTGAAAATTTAACTGAAGGTGAGAAGTATAATAAAAAGAAGTGCATGATTAAAACATGGACAACCAAAATAATTTTGTTTTTATTCTCGAGATCCACAGTTTGAAGATACCATTTTTTCTAGGTAGCTTTCTATCTTATTCTCTAGCTTTCTAGCTTATTTCTATAATGAACTTCTGCTTTCTGAAATTTTAGTTTCTCCTTATCTGAAAACGCTGTCTATGGTAGCCAGTACAAAACTGCTGCACCTCCTTGAAGCCTTCAGCACTCCATGGTTCCTATTTTCGTCTCCAACGAATCATCATCTGGTATTTTTCCTTCTCGAAATATTCAACAACATCATCCAGTATCAGTTCGATGGTGAGTACTTTTTCGTAAATCCTCCGAAACAAGTCAATTGAACCATTGATTTCCATCCTCACAACTTTTGTGTAGTGCGCATAAAGTGTTTTTATGACTTTTGCTTCTTCTGATGCTCATCGTTTAGTTGAATCAACACAATCCAGTACATTAAAACAAAACCAACAATCTGTAAAAAGTACGGAAGATCAAATTCCAGTTTCTAAAACCAAAGCTAGAGCTTCTGGAGCAGAACTTTTCTTTCCTCAAATTTTCTGGGGAAAAAAATTCTGGAATTTTTTCTGCCACCATTCTCTTGAAACAATACTCCATTGAAAAAGAAAACGTATGAGTTTTATTACATTATTGCTTCAAAGAAATGAGGTTATTAATTCGATTTCAAATTCTTATATTGCGGCATCAGGGCAAGAAAAGACGGCATGCTAGCCAGATTGATTTCCATGTGAACTGCAATTTTTGGAACTTCACATCTTTTGAAGGGATCAGAAGATACAGCGACTAAATTTTTTACACACATGGAGTTGTATTTGAGGATTTCCAAATCGGTCATCAATACTCAGTAAAATTGTAAAAATGGGAAATGGAAAATAGAAAATGTAATAGGTCGAAGGAAATTGGAAACAAATATAATTTAGGTTAAAAAATTAAAAGTTCCATGAGTTTTTAACATTAAGTTTGGGTCACATTTGTTTCCGATTTTCTTATTTTATAATTAAATTTTTCTAACATGGTTTAGGTACTATTTTGCTCTAGAACTCTGACACTGATATGTACTCTCATTAAGATTAACGCCAAAATACTCAGCCTTGTTTAAATGTTTTGCAGAAAGACAAAAGTCGGCTAGTTACCCCAATTTCTTCTCAGTCTTCTGGTTGTTGTTTATTACTTTTTTGAAGCAGCTGAACAGTTTGTTAGGCATACTCTTACATATATTTTCCTCCTTAAAAGGATTAATAATCATTCCAAAACATCTCAGCTTGAGAATGGGAATGAAGTATGTATTTATTTTGTTGTTTTTTTTTTCAAAATTAATAATATCCAGAAATATTCTTTTACCGTGGTGATAAAACGAAGATTAATATCAATATAGCCGCCACAGGATATAGTAGATATTCTATTTCTCAGTCTTGCGCAGAATAGACAAACCTAGAAACAAAATGTATCTCATAGATTTTTTTTTTTTTAGTTTTTACGCTAAGTAAACTGGTATTATATATGTCTTGGCTTTCTTGATTGAGTGTCATGTTGCAAATTTTTGCATATTTGCACATATTTTCATAAAAATTTCAGGGATTAATTTTGATGACGGAAGAAATATTAGGTAAAATTTTCCAGTAATTCTCTTCATTAGTTTTCCTGTAAAAAATGGGAAAATTTGGATACGTTTAGTAACATATTGTCTAAGCACAAATGACGGTTGTGGCTTTTTGGCTGGAACTTGAAGATACAGGCTGTTAAATACTAAAAAAGAAAACAATAACAACACTAACAACAGCATTGATTTTATTCAGAAAAAGGAGTAGATTTTATCTGCATGTGTAAATCATTGATTCTACTTACAAGCGACTGCTCCGATCCATTTAAAAGTTTTGCTCTTTTCCTATTAAGTCTTTCTAGCTGCACAAGTGTCTCATTATGCTGTAACCAAAATTATTGAACAAAATTTGAAAACATTGACTTAACTCCACTTCCTTTTAAACAATGTTAGCTTTATATTGTATCCTTCCATTTTCTGACGGGAGACAAATGAAAATTAACTTACTAGGATACATTGACAATTTTTTTAAAACTTTTTCTTCAAATAAGTTAAAAATTTGTCGAATAATGACTTAAAATATTTACTCAAGGATCCTTTTCTTGATTTCAGATTTTTTCGTTTTTGCCCTTTTTTTCAAAAAAAAAAAAAAAAAAAAAAAAAAAAAAAAAAAAAAAAAAAGTATGAGAAAGGAACATAGGAGATTGAAAAGACTCATAGCTATGCCATAGCATTGCTCCTCTGACGCAAGGGCATATTCTTACTTCTATGTGAATCCTGAAAGCCAGGAATTATACGAATTATAAGGCTCAGCTCAAAAAGCTGTTATGCCCAAACATCAGGAGAGCACGTCAGTTTTGTCAAGAGAAACTTGCCTGAAACTTGAAGTTCGTTACTTTATCTAAAAAATTTCTCTATTCCAACTGTCCAGTATTACCCACCGCACCAAGAATATATATTATGAAATAAATGATTAAACGAACACAGGAGCTAAAGATCCTGTTCAAGGTAATTTTATTCTTTTTATCTGCTTCCTCCTAAAAGCAACTGTGGTATTTGCAAAAGCAGGTGTAAAGGTAAACTTATCTTGAAACAGTGTCTTTTCACTAGGATCTAAGATATTGAGGAAAGACCCAGAATAAACTACATGTAAGAGAAGCTTATTTATAAATGATGGCATCACTAAAGAATTCAGTAGTCTGTTCAACTATATCAAGGAAACCATCAAGATTTAATGTTCACTTTATACTGATATGAAAGTAACAGATGAAACATAGCTCAAAATGAACGAAAAGCTGAATTTGGTGAGAGTGAGACTGAATTAAGTGAGAGAGAGAAAGAAATTGAATGGATATTAATTTATGGCGTATTTGCATGTGACCATTCTGTATACCCAATCGTAATGCACCATTACTTGCTCCTAAGTTATGAGACCACTCAGTGTTCGACCATTGCCAGTTCCAATTGGCCTATCCTTTTTCCTCTCAATGAATAAGTTAGTACTAATGGTCTGAAATATCAAAATGATCAGTCAATATAGTTTTACTCAACAAGCTCAGACAAAACCAGCCAGGCAGTCAGTACTTACTAGTTTTATCTGATTCACTTTGGCAAAATTGATCTCAGTGATGAAAAACTGCTTATATCATGGCACAATTTAAATTACCAAAACGAACTATTTACGCTAGGGCAAAACTAGTTCTGCTGAAAATGGGTTTTTCCAATACGAAAAAAAAAAAATTGTGTTGAAAGCTTAATTTAGTACCTGTTGAACAATATCAGACCCTGCTTTGCAAAGCAGAACTATTCTTGTCAAGAGAACGATATCCTGGATTATATTTCTGATGACCACATTACCTCTTGAGGTGGTTTCAATAAAATAGAATAAAAGCAAAATCACTTCCATGACTGTGCAAACGAGTCCAACGAGGATGATCATCGCAAAATTGCCATCAACCTCTTCAACCAGGTCATTTAAATTCCAGTGTAACAACATTATAGTTTGTAACTTTCCCTTTTCAAAGTTTTTTGTCAGCTTCCGAACCTCGATATTAATGTTTTGGAAACACTTCTTAATGACTGATAGCAGTGCGATGATGAAAAAGTCCAAAATGAAAGGCACCATTTTGTTCAGATAAAAGAATATTTGATCTGCTGCTCTGTACTCAGTGAAATACCAAAACACAATAGTGTAAACTAAAAGGAAAGCGTACACTAAATATTTGCCCATGTAATATGGCACATTTGTTCGAAAGAGCTGGTTTTTCAATAAGATCTTGAGTTGCTGTAAAAATTTAGACACCCTCGTCGCCTTGAGTATGACCATTATCAAAGCAAAAGTTGGTCTTATCGTTTGAGTAATGAACATTGCATATCGAAAGCAGTAGTTTTGCTCGAAACACTGGGAGAAGCCTGACTGATTGATGTTGGCATTTGCTGATTCCAGTTTTGTATCAAATGTAATTGTGTTGATAATAAAGTGAATCACCCATAGCAAGTAAGTCAGGAAACTGATGTTGACTTCTGCATCTGTAAAATTAAATAAATATAAACATTTGGAAGAGTTTGTCTTTGGGGCGTTGTCCTTTCAAAAATGTGTAGTTGATAAAATGTCCTCAACCAAAAAAAAAAAAAAAATATCTTATTGCCATCAACTATAGAATTTTGTAATTCTTTCATCAAAAAGCACTGCATTAATTCCTCTAAATTGAAATAAAAGTCAGATTATTAGATGCTCTCTTTTTTCAAAGTTCAAATGGTTTTTAAATCTTCAAACAAATGTGATGGTTCAGAGAAATTAAGATGTCGAGTTTTTTAATTAAGTTCCTTGGCTGGTGGAACTGTAACTAGCACTATGAATATGCATAAGATGTTAGAAATTTCTGCGGATAATGTGCATGAACCGAACAAAACTAAATGAAATAAAATNGGGGGGGGGGGGGGGGGGGGAGCAAGGCAATGAACCGCAATTTAGTAAATGGAGTAAGCGAAAACAGAATGGAAGCTAACAATTAAAGGAACTTAAATTATAATTAATTTAAATAGCTGTCAAAATTAAAACAGATAATGAAAAATGTGTTAATGAATCTTTGTGAGCTTAAGTTTTTTAATTTTTTCTTATTTACCTATTTTAATTTTTTTCCTTTTTTTTTTTTTTTTTTTTTTTTTTTTTTTTTTTTTTTTTGTGAGAAGAAGCCATCATGATAGAGTGTCTTCCTTCCATCCCTCACTTCTTTCCTTCCGAAGTATGAAGTTTTAAAATATACTCACTTTGACCATGGTAAATTTCACTGGAAACAGAAGCTCTTTTTTTACCCCTCTGTCTTCCAGTCAGAGGTACTATTCCAAATAGTGCACTGATGCCCAGTATTGGTGTCAAGTACTCGGTGCCCACCTCATATCCAGGATTCCCGGAGCTCTTAAATTGTGCGAGTTTATCCTTTGCAGCCATCCAGCCACTATAAATCAAACGAACAAGATGCACTGAGTGTCATTGTTACATGGTCAGTCAGAGCACTTCCTGAGATTCAGGGAATTATTGATTTTTGATCCTATTAAAGATGGGCTGTTCCCTGTTTACTCAGTTTAGTAGCTCCAACTTTGTTTTCCATCAAATTACTTTTTATTGATTTTATTTTATGCTCCCCCTTGCCATCTGCATCCCTTTGCTATCTGCATCCTCTTTCATTCCACCAATTGATGTGTTTTGTCAATTTAGCTCCATCATCATTACTTCTATCTATTTTTCATTCACACTTTGTTTTTGTTTTTTTTTCCCAAAACTATATCCAAACTAAAAAGCTCATATAATTAAACTACAGCCATACTTCAGATAGCTGTTGCTTGAATTCTCCCAAGGTGTTAGGAGTTAGAATTATTGATTCATTTCTATGAATGTATAACAATGAGATAGGTACAGTGTGTTTCCAAATATCTAAATGTTATTCATCTGGAACATTAGATTGAGTGGTCCAAAAAGATAGTAAAATTCGAATAAGCAAAAATTAGCTACCTGGCAGCTGGTACAAGAGGAATGATACAAGAAAGTCCATTCATAGGGTTTTGTAATGATGTGCAGGTATTTGACTCCTCGAGATCATCTATCTGCACAGTTATATTCAGATAAGGCCCACATTCAATTGATCAAGTTCTTTTAGAGTTCTATCATAAAAAGATCTCTGTAGTTTGTAATAGGTTTCTCAAATGTACTAATTGAATTTGTGTACTGATTGCGATTTTTTTGTTTGTTTGTGCAGGTAATTCCAACCTTGTTTACACTATTATCCGGAAAAGACAAGTTTTTCATAGCCTAGCGAATTTACCATGTGATTACAGTACGATCTCTAAATCGCTAAGTAAACGGTCGAGACGACATGTGCCCATGCCTTCATCATATGACTCCAACACTGAGAGTCCAAGTATGGAAGGCTCAAGACCTGCGCTTCCAGCAGAACCAGGAACTTTAAAAGCCACTCTCCCAGATACTCCAGGTAAGCAAAATATTGTATATTGTAATAATCTATGTCCACGCAGTGGAAGGGACCAAAACAGCAAAAAAAATCAATATTGAAATAATGGTTTCACTGTTTAAAAGAGTATTCCATGGATATATTGCTGCAAAACAACGTCCAGAAATTTCAAACCAAATGATAATTTTGATGATCTGAATTTTGTAATTTAAATAGCGCAATTTTGATATTAGGCTATTCACAGGTTGCACCTCCATATCCTATGTTCAACTTTGCCAGACTTAAATGCAATTTTACATTTTTACACTTTCAAAGTCTAATTTTCAGCTCACTTTGACAGAAATTGCTTCCTTGAAACATTTTTTATGCATGCATTGAAGTAAATTTTCCTATGGACTGAAACAATTTAAGGTTGTCATACCTTACTTTCTTGAATGCAATCATATAGAGGCATTAATCTCCAAGTAATACTAGTGTGCCAATGGAAAATGCTATATGAGCCTTCAAATTTTGTCTAATTTGTATCCATAACACATACATTATCAGGGAAACTTGCCAATATTTTGTCTTCAATTTTGCAGAGAATTTCATCCCTCCTTTAATCTGAAGTTTCTAAAAATTTCAAAGGAAAATTTATACAACTTACCCGAAAAATGATACTTTTTTACAGGGAAATCTGACATTGTCTGTAGGTTCTTTCTGTATTTTTTCTTATCATAGGGAGCAACATGACAATGTCTAAATGGCCCATTCGGTCATTATATTTATCTTCCATAATAATTAATAATCAGGTAGAAATACAGTGACCGCAAATCCATTTTCTCGCTCATCATTGCTCTGATACTATAGCTCCAAGTGGGTACAAATTCTGCCGTCAAGTAGCCACCATAGGTGTTCAGTGAGCAAGCATTCACCAATTTTTGTTTTCTATTGCCAAACACGACAGCGGAAAGTGAAGCTTTTTCCTGTAAGCCTACTTGGGTTGGAAAGATGGAGGTTGCCTTTGGAAAAAGATTAATTTAATGCATGAGTATAAGGTATGTTCGTGTGTTAGTTTACTCAATCTAATAGTATAATTTAATATTTCAGGCATCGAAAAAATGACAGAAAGAGAGTCAGCTCATCCTGGAAACCACAACATCCCCGTTGAATTATTGGCAGAAATCTCCATCAACGGCCATGATTCTGAAAAAAATTCCGGTACTGTGACGAATGCGAATACCAGTGTTGAATCCTCACCTAGTCAAGAAAAACCTACCTCTGTATCAGAATCGTTTTCATCGCCGCCAATAACTTGTAAAACAGTTCCTACAAGTTCCATCTCATCCCCTGTAGTCCATAAATCAGCCTCAGTAGTAAGTACCACCATACATGTGTTCTAATTCAAATTTTTATTTCACAAGAAATTCCCTGTCCAATTAGTTTGTATTTTCGCATGAAATTAAAATGATTTCCCAGACCACCCTTTTAGAGCAGCTGGATGAAACTTTTTTGGATAGTATCGGGAAAAAATAATGGATTTAACATTCCTTTACATCTATAGATCAACCTTTTTTAATTTGTGAAATTTGAACAGTTGTTGTCTGTTAACTTCAAATATGACTATACTGTAAAAATAGAGTTCATGAAAAATGAAATACAGTTAAAGAACACCTTTGTAAAAAGAGTAAAAACGTTGGTTGAGAAATACGAACGCTCTCTCAAACTGTGAATCTTTTAATTTCGATATGTCAAGAGACTATAGTCGTTTTGACCCGTTCAGGTTAAGTTGAGAATGGGAACAGGTAATTCTTTACAACTTTTGAAAGTACCTAATTTTCTCCTGAAGTAACTTGATTTTTGGGGGAAATTCCAATTTTTCTGGACAAAACCATACTGATTCTGGTTAAAACAGAGGTTATTTTCTGAATCAGTGCTGCAAATCTACTCTGAACGTGTTTTTTTACGTTTTTGGAAAATGGACCTGTGTTGTCTTTTATAATTAATGTTGTTAATTTATTATTATAATTGCCACTCCAGCATTCCTTGAACAATAAAACTGAGTGGATTGCCACGTCAGACTGGGTGAAATCATGGAAGGACAAGTTACCACTACAAACAATCATGAGGCTTTTGCAAGTGCTTGTCCCACAAGTCGAAAAAATTTGCATTGACAAGTAAGTTTATCCGTTTGTTTTACATGACCATGTCTTGTCTCTAGTTTTATGTAATAAAGTAGAAAAATCGAGGGAGGTTTCAAAAAATTAAGTTGACCGGTTTTCCAAAGAAAAAATAAAGTATGTCAGAAAGTCTGCAATGTTGCAAATGGAGATATAAATGTTCTGCACTTTGGCCATCAATATGTATATAGAGAATGAAATTTCAAGAGCAAATTTATGATGCGTCTACTATTATCTCACAAATGAAATATTTGTTTCCTCCGGCTCCATGTCCGGAATAATTGCATCATAATTAATTTTTTGTACTTTTTGGCTTCACTCTCCTCTGAAGACAGTGACCCAGTACTGTTCTAAGGTCCTCTTCATTTATTATTATTTTTATTCTTTATTAATATTATTACTTATTTGTTATTATTTTCATTTGTTTTACAGGGGGTTGACTGACGAAAGTGAAATTTTGAAATTTTTGCAACATGGAACTTTAGTCGGACTGCTACCAGTACCGCATCCCATTCTAATTCGGAAGTACCAAGCGAATCCAGGAACAACTACCTGGTTTAGGACGTACATGTGGGGTGTTATTTACCTCAGGTAATTCTCTATCAATTACTGCAATCAATGTTAGCATCTGAATCTGGTGTGCAAGAGTAGTGTTGTAACCAAAGTAAGGTGAAATAAAATATAATTAATTCAATTATCAGTTGGTAAAAATTGTAGACATAAATACTACAGTCACCTTGCACACAGTAGATATAATATGATGAGATGGGCAGTTTCTTATGTTTGATCAGTGCCTTTTGAAAGACAATCTTTAATTGCAGGTCACAGGTGAAATTTGACCACCCTTTATTCTCTAGTAAATTCGCTTTCTGGTGAAAATTACGAATTTGATTCATTTTAAAGGATGTCTATTGTCCTTGGGAAGGGTTTCTGTTTTTTTCCAAGATTATTTTAGTTTTTTTTTTCTCTCTCGTCATTTTGTCATTGCTACCTCTAGTCTCGCTATTCTTGATCAAAATATTTTGTCGCTCAACACGAAATTCCATTTCTTGAGAATTTTAAAATAAATTTTTTAGCCAAAACAAAAGGAAAAAAAATTAATCCTTGGCTTCATTCAGAATTTAATTCCAAGTGTAAAACAAATGATTTCATCTAGATATCGCTTATTATGCAGTTTTTAATTACTGCCTCTAATATTCAGCTCAGGAAAGGACTTACAATTTTTTAACACCCAAATTTTTTCTTAATTTTTCAGGAATGTAAATCCTCCCATCTGGTACGAAACGGACGTGAAACTTTTTGAAATTCAAAGAATCTAAGTTGCCATATGAACGAAGTAAGATTTCTACCTTCATTCCTTCTCTTATAACCATTTCCAACGATAGCCCTTAAAAGACATATTTCATAACAGAAAGACTTCAGTAGTTTTTTAAGGTTGAATTAACCTTAACCAAAGCGTACTTATTTATTTGTACATATCTTAATTTATCTTGAATAAATTTGTGTAACACTTCAATTAATTTTTTTTTAATATGTAAAAAAACCTGAAATTTTTTTCAAGCCCTAAGCCTTGCTCTAGCTAAGTAGATGAAAATTTGAGCAACTCTTAGTTTCGTAATCCTAACCTAATTTGCAAGAATTCGTCTAGTAAAGTGCTTACCTCTTCATTTGGTCATCAATCATCATCATCCAGCGAAACATAGCATTGACCTTGGAATTTACTTTTTGTGTACTTCAGTTACATTTACTGGTGGTAGCTTTCCACTCTTGATAATGGAAATTGTGCAAACCCCTTAAATTCTTTTCGTCAATTAATAATTGCAAAATTTAATTTCCAAGTCAAACTTAAGGTACGCTTTTGTCCTACATGTTTGCCTACATTTTTGTAAAATATTTAGACAGAGTCTTGATATCGACAGTTTTAACAGTCCCTGGTACATTTTTAGGATGAAGGAAAAACAACTTTTTCAGGTATAAAAAAGTAAACAACTTTTATTTTTCAATTTTCATCAGCAAAGTATTAAAATATTTTTTTTAAAAAAAATATGATAAAATTGATTTTCTATCAGAAATTTACAGTTGAAATAAATATTAATTTTTTGAGCTCCAATAACATTTTTCAAATATTATATTTTACATGCTTAACATAAAATAATGCATTTTTTAAAACTAACATGTATGTATTTTAATTACATTTTAACTATCACAATGACTAGAATGTTTGAAAATTAAGTACACTTTAATTTCAGTTCTGTTTTGAATTCGGTACTTAAATTAAGGATAACGGGAACATCGCTCTATTTAATTCAAAATACATAATAAAATGGAACAAAACTAATGTTTCAAAGTAGAAAAAAGAATGTAGAAACATCGAGGTGAGTCCATTAATTTTAAGGCCCTCTTGAAATTTTTTTTAGAAAAGCATAATGAGATACCAGTCAGCAAGCAAGAACTTGCACCCCTAAATTTTGATTCTATGAGATAATTAAACTAAATTATACATGTTCTTGCTTAGCTTGCAATTAAATTCTTAAGAATGGAATAACAATAAATTGAACTTTTCAAATATTTACAGTAAATTTACATATTGGTTTTGCTACCTACTTATCTATCAGATCTAAGGCATGAGCTTCAATATTTTACAAACCCACTCAATTAAAGAAATTATCAGTTCTTATTCTTTAATTGACTTAGAATGTGAGAAATTAGAATAAATTACACAAATAAATAGTTAATTAATTATTTTTACAATGAACATCATGGCACTTATGGCACCAGGTACATGCTTAGAATATTAACAATAAGTATCGAAAGTATCTAATCCTTCCAGATCTTGAAAATAAATCATATTTTCAGGAGAAGAAAGGAAACTGAAGGCAATTTTCTGTGTACCTAGTCAGTAGCATTGATAAAAATTAGTTTGGCATAACAATGGTAACTTAATTCGATCACTTCTTTTTTTTAAATGCTCTCCAAAAGTACTTTCCAGTTGTATTAAATTGACAGGGCAATTACATTCTGAGTTTTCAGTTATCAGTTTTCAAAGCAGGTAGGAAATCAGTCAGGCATTTAAATGATGAGCCGACGGTGATAAAATTAAATTTTAACTAAAGGACCAAACCGGGGTCTCCAAAAATTTGCTCTTGAATAAATTTTTATGGCATAAAATGTTAGAGTTCAATTTTGATTAAAAATCAATAATACTGACACACAACTGCAAAAATATTTTGCATCTAAGAAATGTAGGACACATTTACATCAGAACAAAATGGTAAAATCTGATATGCATTTTGCTGCCTACTTAACATTGAGATTTCGTGAAACATGAGTTCTTCACACATGCATGTAAAATCCCTCTTGCAGCCAAAAATTCTACTTCTTAAACTAGCATACAATTTCACATCCAAATATTTTATCTTTAGTGTTAACATGCCACCTCGGTCACGTAAGGATTTTTCCAGAGTAGACATGAACTGTGCGTAAAATCACACCATTGTAAAACACAGTAAATTTTGTAAATGCAATAAAAAGTGGCATGGTTTGCATATCCTGTTTTACAAGAACCAATCAACCTGTTTCAGCAACCAAAGCTAAAACTCTTCATTCTAAACTCTCAAAAAAATAAAATTCTCAACTGCTTTCTCACAAGATTTAGGAGTTGCAACGTACCCCAAGGTGGGATCGAGACTCCTTCGTTCAATAACTTCACAGCGCAGCTGTGCTGTAGGAAAGGTTTCCATTACCTTTACCTTTTAAATTCACAAAAAATCAGTCAGTGACTGCCAACTTCAATAAAAATGCATATTTTTAAGCCGTATAGCTTGGTGGCGGGTACGGCATTTTACTCTGGTGAACTGGAACGATGTAAATTTGGCTGTTATCGAGAGACTCCTTCTTGAATGTGTCATTCTTTTCAATGGATAGTTTCCCGTTGTTGAACTTTCTTTGGAGTGTGTCAGTGTAGGTTGGAGGAGCGAAGAGATGGTATGGAGGTGGGGGAGTCTGTGGGAAGTAGGCATCAGCGTAAACATTGACACGATTAATGTATTCATTGGGGTTGTGCCGACGGTACATGGCATTTCCAAAACAGAACTCGGAGCACACTATGATCAGGAAGAAGGTCACTAGGCCACCAAAAGCTCCCAGGTACCAGACCACCGAAAGAGACTCCATCTCATTTTCATCTGCATCTGTGATGTCATCCTCTGTAACAAAAAAAAATAAAGCTCGGTAAGTGATATGCAACATCTCATTTGCTTGTGTAAGTTTATTCAGTGCACCACCGATAAAAAAAGTGAAAAGTTAAAAGTTACCTAACCAGTACATAAGTACATAAGTGACAGTAACATAATACACCAGTACATAAGTGATGCATTAAAGTAACCTAAAGTGTATAAACTCAGGAACCAGTTTATGGCTTTCGTCGATTTTGGATGGGGGAAAAAATTCGTGAAAAGTTTCGAATCCAACACAGTTCGAAGCGTAAAACCGATCGCGTCTGGCCCCAAGACTCGCCGGTACTTCCTTAGCCGAAAAATGAGCGTTTTCAAAAGTTTTAGGCTGCTTTCGACCGTTCCGCACGCATCCATGTTATTCGTTGATTTTGAGCTCCAATGAACTTATGGAGCATTTGAGACCATAAAATCGGACTTAGCAGGTCGTTGCCACGGAGACTAGCTTAGTTCATTTCAGCCCGACCGGAGAACTGTCGATTTTGACTCCAAAATTCTAGTCTACGTAACCCCTGTCGATGTTTTCCGATTTTGGACGTGAAAAAAATTTTCAAGAATAATGTCGCATCCTACGTAGTTTGAGACGTAAAATCAATTGCGCCTGGTCCCGAAACTCGCCCAAGTTTCCTGAGCGGAAAAACGAGTGTTTTTGACCGTCAGGTACCGAAAATTCTTACTCTTGTTTGCCAGTCGTGAGCTCCAAAGAACTCGTGCGTGGAGCATTTTAGACTAGAAAATCGGACCCAGAGGGTCATCTTTAAGGGAACAACTTTCTTGCCCATATATGGTGATTTACTCAAACCAATCACGCTCACGAAGTAAGTAGCGTTTCGGGCCTGTATGATTCATCTTGTACGCTTTTCTCACCTACAATTTCTCTTCGAGTCTGATGATTCACCCGAGAGTCCGCTGGTTATTGACATCGCAGCTAATTTGTTAATGACCGTCCGTACGTCTGACCCCCGAAGTCAGATGTGTCATCTCCGTTCGCCGAATAGCTGATCGTTAACCGGGTACCAAAGAGGTACCTTCAGCGATTGTTGTTGGACGAGTTTCAGCAAGTGTTCACGAAAAAAGCGATAAATTTTCCTGCGGAACGACGCGCTGCGAAAGTTTCGAGCCTAGTGGCGTGGCGTGAATTATCGATAATCGATAGTTCCCCATTTGAAGGTATGCCGAAGAATCGATTATTAAGGTGTTCGTTGCGAACACCCTGTATATCGATCTTTTTCTAAAGGTTTAAAGGGCAGATCAATCAATATATCGCAAAGCACGCCACGCCACTGGTTTCGACCACAACTTTTTTCAGGCGCTCTAAATTGGCCATGCCAACATCCAGCGTTTTTTTCGCTATCAAGTGATTTTTCGGCGAGACAGTCGTAAAGTAACTAGAAAATTATCGTCAAATGATAAGCCTCATAATCAGTGGCGGGGCGTGAATGATCGATTAACTATATTCCCATTTGAGGCTATGGTAAAGAATCGATTATTAAGCGAGAACCTTGTTTAACGATCCTTTTCCATAGGTTTAGATGAACTGCTGTTAAATTCACGCGATTGAACATATCAGCGAAAATAAACAGAGGCCTTTCATGGTGAAGTTACGTCATTTCTCACGTGCCCGCGGGATTCCACAAAAGTAAAAGCAATTTACGTATTTTTTAACTTTTTCACCTTCAATTTTAATACGATTTTTTTATAGCTTTCGACGCAAAAGATAACCTCTTAGACTCGTCAATTAAGTTTTCCCCCCATATTTCGGACCGTTCATAGATTGTTACGGCGCGATCATGGTAGGGTAAACAAAAACACGATTTTATAGACGTACACGCACTCAGCGTACCTAAATATACATATGAGTCGTATTAAAGTTTTTCAACCTTGCGTAAAAGATGATGAATGTACCTTTCATAGACAACATCATCAAACCGAAGGCTCAAAGAGGTATGCCGCCGTGCTAAGGAAGAACGCCATATGAGCCTTCAGACGTTGCCAAATTTCCTTCGATAAAAACCAAATTTACAGGGAAATTTGTGAATATTTTGTTCCAGAATTGTCCACCGATTTCGCACGCAATTTAATCTAATACATCTGAAAATGTCAAAGAAAAATTTGCATGGATGTCGTCAAAAATACATGTTTTATCAAGGGAAATTTGGCAACTTTTGAATGTACATACGGCGTTTTTCCTTAGCACGGCAGTATGGGCATGGGTGAATCTGAATCAGGAGAAAATTTTGAAATGCATAGGTAGAGAAAATAGCATGAGAGTGACCGCCTACGTTTACGAAAGTGTCGCAGCTCCTCCAACCAAAGCGTACTACCGTACATTGTCAATTTCCGTTGCAACAAATTTCAAGATGTATTGGTACATTGTGCCTCATAAATCAAAAGAGCATAAAAAAAACACAGATTCGAGTGTATTGTACTATTCGCGCGTTCACCAACGTGACTTGGCGCGAGCACATTCCGGAAAATGCATTTTAGCGCGATTCCTCTTTCAGTTTTGAATCCGAGCACCTCTGCGTTTCAAAGTTCAAGAAGCACTCGTTGTCAGAAGTCGATTGCTCCTTCACAGCAGCAGCGGCTTCTCCTATTTTTACCAACGGGGTGAGCTCGAGACGTGTGCAACGGATTATTTGGATTTAGATCAACCTCAACGCCCGCTCAAACGTATACATTCCTCGAGGCGAAACTCGGAATTCGGCCGAAATTTTCAATCATCATCGATACTTGAAGTCTCAAATTTTACCCCTTAAATTTTCAGTATTGAAAGATGAAGAAAAAGTATGCCTTCGTATAGAATCTGAAATCGTTCAGTACAATGGAAAATCTGCTAAGGCTAAGAAAAAAAGATCGATTTTCACTTTTCGATGCCACGAAAACTGGCCTACAACTAGTCTAAAAAATCGGGTCAAAATTTCAAGTCATCATTTGCATTATACATGGACTGAGTTAAGCAGAAAGGAACCAACCCACATTTTGGAAATAATTGAGTTATGAGTGGTTTTGAACTCAACCACTGCTCTACTTTCTATCGCCAAATATTCAAAGTTTTTGTATTGAACTAGAAGTTTATCTTTTACATTGAGTCTTATGCAGGAGCCAAACTTCAAACCTCTTTTCCTCGGTTCGATCCCGATGTGGCTTGGTTCCTTTCTGTTTAACTCCGTCCACATGATGTTATGAACGTTAAAACTTAATCCTAGAGGATGCAAAAGGGCTGACAAAATTCACGGTTTTTTTTCACCAATTCCCCATTTTTCGTCCCCAACTTTTGAATGGCTACCAGAGGATCAATTTCAAGAAATTTCAATATAGGTATGTGTAGGTACTCTCAGCACCGAATATTGCTGAATAGTTCGCGTTTCTCTTTTTTTGATCCTTCATAACATGTTTGAAAATTTGAAATTTTCCTATGCAATCTGATAGCTTGCTGCAGTGCCAGGAAAGAACGGAAGAAGGAGAATTATCGACGAATTTTAACTTGTCATAGGCGAGGATCAATATGCAAGAGAATTTGGTATAATTTCAATGGACAGAGATAAATGCAACCCTTCTGGGTGAAATTGTGACAGGGGCGTTCTTTGTTATTCAATTTATTACGTATGCAATTGCGACGTGGATCACAAAAACCTTTCCCCTACAAGTTGTAAGACTTGTACTCCAGATCAACAAATTCTAATCCTCTGTACGTGTTTGCTTACAATGTTTCCGGTGTAATTCAAAGTGCTTGCGTGGGTATTTTGGGGGAAATCAAGTGGGTATCACAATGATCGATGCAAATATAAGTGACAGAAGTATCTCGACTATCGCGTCACCGTGCTTAAGCTAGTGCGCAGCAGACTATCGATACCACTTGTTGGTTTCATGCTTTTATTTTGTCTACATTTTATTTCATTTTTGCGCAAAAATCAATCAAAAAAAGGGTATCATTATTTGGAAATCCAAAATCTTTCAGGGGTTTTGCAATCGTTACTTCCTTCAATTATTATCTCGACCGAGAGACTCAGCACGATGCTAAAAGGATGGTACCTAAAGCTTGAATACAACTAAACGCGCTCCGCGGATGTCCATATTGCATAAGCGAAGAAATGAAGGCGTTTTGGCGCACCAGCTCACCCGGTTCTCAGTTTCTACATCTAACCAAAGTGCGAAACCACGTATCTCCGTTTAAGACGTTGCAAAATTCCTGTCATATACGTTATTTTCTCCTCGGAGAACTAGTCAACGTGATTTTTTTAAAACTTCCGTGATACTTCTTCTCTGTCAGCAGAATATTCTGTGTAAATTTCGAGCTATAAAGTTGGCTTGCTGCCCTTGGTAAAAATAAAGAAGGGGCGGAAATTTCGAGACACTATTATGGATTTAAGTGGTTTCGCACTTTGGCCATCGATATTTTTACCAATCACGTACATCATCGCCGGAAAAGGGATCGTTGTACTTGTAGAAAATTTTTTCAAAGGAGGTTTTTTTGCTTAGTACGGTATAAAACAGTATATTTCTATTTTCAACGGAAAACATTCATTATTATTTCATTCGGTCTGTTTTGTGTCAGCAATGTAGGGGTTAGAGTTGCAATTAAATTGGAATATTTTCGAATCTAATATCCCTTTTCCCGTGAATGATGAGTGATTAGCAGTCAGTGATTTACCCATGAGCAGTCGTGTATAGTTCGGATACCAACCTTTGATGTTGTCAGAGTCCATGTCGGGAGAGATGGGCGTGAATTTGGTTTTGTTGTTTTTCCTTTCGATGAGATCAGCTTTTGCCTCCAATTCCTTAGCCTCCAAGTCCTCGATGTCTTCGTCCTCTTGCGAGATGTAATTGATCCTGGTGTTGTACTCGAATAAAGGCACCCTTTGCCGCTCCATTTTATTTTCCTCCGACGAACTGTTCTCCATCCAGCCGATTTCTTTGGCCAAGTCAGCTCTCGCCTCCAATTCTGACACGTCTCCTGCAACAAAAATAATTCAGCCGTTAGTCTCCATATCGATTGATTTTGTAAGAAACAATAGGAAGGAGCCCCTTATCGTGGAAACGATAACTATTCCTACTCTCCGGTCGAGGCCGGGGTTGCATACCTTAGCGTTTTGAAGGCGGACTGCCTTGAAATATTTTAAGTCGTGGAAATCGACGTTCATCTCTAGATTTAACCATGACAAAAATTGGGATTTTTCGATTCAATGATGAATAAATTCAATGAAAGATTTTCTTTACTCTAAAGCGGTTTTTGGACGATCGAAAATTTCGAATGTGATGGAGGTTCACTCTTTGATTGCAGCGAACATTTCATTACGCTAATAATCACTTGGTCGCTGAAACCCATCCCAAAAGTTAATCAAGATCCAAACAGCACGTTCCTCGGTAAACAAGACGGTAGAACACGAGACGAACTTCCTGAACTTGAGTACAGGATTCATTAACAGGTAAACGAAACATGTAGCATTGTTGTCAAATTTCACAGATAAAATTCCTAATTTTTCACGAATGCTCTGAAAAGCAGCCGAAATCGAGCAGTAACGCCAGAAATTGTAGCTAAATCTAGAAAACACTATCGGTGGAATTTCTAACGCGGTTTAAAACCCACGCCGCCGTTATCTTGTTTATCAAACGAGACGTTGTCTAATTTTCTATGCTGTCACGAGTTCAGTCGACATTTTAAGCCACGAACGGATCAAAAAATGCCGACACAAAAGTACGCATTTTCAAAAAAATGTAATATTTTCTTTCGAATGGACCAGAGCAGGGTGTCTACTAAAACAGGCTGGTCAAAAATAAGTACTTTTACAGTACTTTTTCAGTACATTCTCAAGAAAATCAATACCTCCCCCAACAGAAAAATTCCGTATTTTTTCAGTACCTCCATTTGACGAAATTAGAAAAATTTCAAAAATTTGAAATTGCGACAAAAATGACAAAAAATTAAACAAATTCCGGACCTTTTGGCGGAATTTCCGCACTTTTTCAGTACTTCTGTACCGCCCTTAAAAAATCAGTGCTATTTCTGGACTTTCCAGAAATTTCGGACTTGTAGACACCCTGCAGAGAGTTTCGATCGAAAAGCTGATCTGAAAATTTTATCGAAAAAAGTAATTCATCTTATTCATTCCCAAAAAGTAAATATTCGATAGGAGGAAATTTGGCAACGTCCGAAAGCTCATACGGCGTTCCTCCTTAGTATGTACATAGTGCGGTGGTAATGAGCGGCTCCGATAATGAATCGAATCCGCCCGGAATCGTAATCGACTTATTTGCTCATCCGTTTACCACCTCGTTCATGGCTTCTTTTTCGAGGGGGCAGGGGAAGGGGGGGGGCCTCCCGTGGATTCGCGGCCTTCTTTGAGCGTAAACAGACACCCGGGTGCCTGGTACCATGTGGTCATGTAGGCATGTTTGCGCGCGCCCGCTGAAATGGCACTCGCGTAAAGTATGTACACACAGGTATCTTTCAGGTGGCAGGTGTACAGCTTTCATTAGGATCTAATTTTTTAAAATTTTAATTTCATGAAATCGAGAATTGAGGACCTAAGTTGGCAAAAATGTGTTAATTGATATTTTGACAGGGAGGAGGGGGCATTTATGTCAAAAACTCAACATTAAATTCTGATTTTGTAGCTCGCATTTTATCACTTATTGGTTTCGCTGAAAAATTTGTGTTTTTTTAGAATCACGATACCTATCGGCATCATTATCCATCATCCGATAATGTTTTATGACAACAAATGTTATTTAGATTCAAACCAACGGTCATTTTTGTAAACATTTCAACATATATTTTGAAAAAAGGAGGAAACAATTTTTCTTTTAAAAAGTGAAAAAATAAAATAGCGTACCTAACCGTTTAAAAAATTGCATAAGTGAAGAAATAATATGGAGTTCCTTGAAAAGGTTTCATTTATTCATCTTTGATCAGTTGATTTTTCCCCCAATTTAAAAATATATTCACATATTACTTGCTGGCAAGTCCAGAAATCCATAAAGAGTGAATGATTAATCATCAAGTGAACGATTATATCATAAGTCGAGTCAGTTAAGTAGTATCTTTTTGGTAGTTTCTCATGCCAAACTTCCTTTTCTGCGTGAAACAACCGATGCCAGGTTCAGTGCCGTCGTGAGTAGCGTATGCAAGCTGAAGTCAGAACACAAACACATTGCTCAATTTACCCGCGAGCACCGCAGCCGCCGCAAATGAAGCCCAACATGTAAAAATGACGTATCAGCCATTTGAATAGCATTACACCTACGTCGTTTTTACACTTGAGACTCCACATGCAGTCCGCCGCGTGAGGCGCCAAGTCCTGCGCGCTGATTGGCCGATGCTCTCTCATCTGAGCCTTTGCGCCTGACTGTTTTGATGGCAGTCAATGAATAATACAACTATTTTTAGCTGATTGTGAGTGTGGCGTAAAATAATAAGGTGTGCAGGAGTGGAGAGTCGCGTGTGTACCGTCGGGTGAGACGCACAAGGGCATCATTTTCTTCGCACTTGGCCGTTTTATCCTTATTTTTGTAGTCTAAACTGCGCATCCTAGAATGATCGTTTGTGCAGAATGATCGGCAAGGAATCCTTTTTTTTTTTCTTTCTTTTTTTTGCCAAAACAACCGTATCTGTCGAGGCGAGTCTTTGAGAAAATGTTCATATTCTTTCATTGAAACTCATCACTACGGCAAAACTCGAAAAACGACAGTCCTTTTAACCTCCTGTCAATGAGTGGTAATAGAAATCGATGGGTTAAGTGCGGAACCACGTATGACATACCTCCATTGCAGCGTTTCAAAATTTACGTTCCTATTTTACTTTTTCGAAGAGAAACAAGCAGACTTTATAGCTCGAAATTTACACAGAGTATTCTGCTGACAGAGAAGAAAAATCGAAGAAGTTTTCGAGAAATTACGTTGAATAATTTTTCAAAGAAAAAATAGGTGCCTAAAGTATAACGGGAAGTCTGCTACGTCGCAGACGAAGATACGTGGCTTTGAACTTCAGCTATCGAAATGTTTCGTGGAAAAGAAGAGGGGGGATTTACGGTCTACGCTTCTCCGTAAAATTAATTTTATTTTATTTTATATTATTTTATTTTATTTGTGTGTTTCCTTTTTAATTTTGTATACTGATATCTCAATTCATATGAAGGATAGGTAGTAGATAATGTAAGGGTTAAGCTACTTGTCTGCCACACTGAAAAAATAAAGTTACGGGCTGTATAGACTTACCATCCGTTCCGGGCTCAGAGGCCGAAAGTTCCGGGTGCTGGAGCCGTAGTTTCGACTGCTCCAGGTGCTACGCCCGGAGCTTTCGGTCTCTGAGCCGGCACGTGGACGGTATGTCTATGTAGCCCGCAAGTATGGCTTCCACGGCCCGAGTTTTTTCTCCAGTGGCAGGTGAAGGCAGATTTTCAGAGCAGACTGGCCGAATAAGAGCTGAACGGATAATCGATTAAGAAAAGGTGTTCAGCCTCGACCGATGTTTTAGCGGGGCCGACGCGACCATCGACGTCGAAGCGACGCGACGACGACGTGACCATTGCGGCGTATGCGGTGACGGCCGATCCATCGATTCGTGTCAACCGGTTGCCGCGCGTGCATTTCGGCGGCCCGCACCACCGGGCCGTGACGTCGAAGCTTGCAAGTGTGACGTCACACACACCCGACTCCTTACTTTCGCCCGACCGCGACCGGACACGAGCCAAAATGGTCGGTGGATGAGCACGATTTCAAAATTCTCGGGTTTCCATTCTTTTCGTGATTTTTAAAACCATCAGCGGAGATTTGTTTCATTTGGAGCCTGCCTCTATCAGTCTGCTGATGATAATTATTATCAGTTCAAAGTTTTTTTTTTTTTTTTTTTTTTTTTTTTTTTTTCAGGTTTAACGGCTTACACCTCTTATCAGAAGTCTACAGCCAACTACAGAGAGAGATTTATTGTCCGTAGACAACAGGGCGATAGGGACATCCATGCTCCGGCTTTCAAATTTTCAGGGATTAAGGCCGAGTCAGTTGAAAGTTAAGGATGGTCGGTGGATGTCAAAGTATTAGATGATGGTCAATCCACTCAAAGTAGTGCCCTTTCCTCTTCTTCCTATCGAGGAAAATAAATTATCAACGCGATGCAGGAAAACCCAACTAAATTCTTTCCGCAGGGGCGGACTGGTAGTCGAAAAGTTAGGAGGCGACCTAAATGTGGGGGCCCCTCCTGTCGTTCGGTGGCCCTCCCCCGGAAAATTTTGAAAATTTCACACTTTTTAACGCAATTTTAAGCATTATTGGAGTTGGATTCGACAGTACTTGAACTTCAAAATATCCCATTCTCAGGATTCTTCGGGGGTCCCCTCATCACATAAGCTTTAGGCTACCTTTCATGTCTCTTAGAGACAAATTTTCAAGGAGCTCGGGGCCTTTTAGTGACTGAGAAGGATAGGAAAATTACAACATTACGGGGAAAACACGATGACTCGAAAAAAATTCGCCGCGGGGGCCCCTTCGGGACCTCCGCGGCAAATTGTTAGGAGGCGATCGCCTCCCCGCCCCCATGGCCAGTCCGCCCCTGTCTTTCCGAAGACCTAGATTCGAATTTCGACAGCTCAAGAGCCCGAACCCGAAAGAGGCCGGCGAGAAATTCACGGTCTTGTCTCGCTTCGTCTCCCTGGTTCTGGGGCAGTCGAAAGCGAGTAAACAGAGGATTACATCAGAGCGCGCCCTTGGAAAGAAAGCCGCAGCCGAAAAACTTGCCCACTCGAAACAATTCCGCTTATTAGCGTCGCTTTGTTTTCGCGGAGACTTTCTTATCGAAGCTCGTTGAGCTTTAGCGGATCGGGGAAAAGAGCTCAATCACCAACGCAGGAATTTTTCCGGTGGATTAGTCGATCGGGGGCCCTTTCTCCGGGGCGCGGGGCTCGAGTGGAGGGTTTCCTCCGACTGGATGTTGTTCGAAACCTTTCCACTTGTGCTACACTC